GGCTGGTTTGGCTCAGCGGTTAGAGCGTTGGCCTGCAGACCAGAGAGTCCCGGGTTCAGTTCCTGCTAAGGGCATGTACCTCGGTTGCAGTTTGTCCCTGGCTCTGGTTGGGGTTGTGTGGGTGGCAACCACTTGATGTGTCTCTCTCACATTGATGTTTCTCTTCCTCCCTCTCTCTCTCTTACTCTATCTGAAGATAAATGCAGAAATGTTCTTGGGTGAGGATAAAAAAATAAAAAATAAATAAAAGTAAGAGTTTCTCACAAATATCCTCTTATCAAAATGATAGTGAAACATTCTGATAATATGCACAATGACAGATATTCTGGGTGTGCCCAAACACTGAACTCCCCAAGGCAGTTGTCCATACCTATAAATGAGTTGGATGTACTCAGATGTACCATGTGAGCATGGAACGTGTGCCTTATTTTGAATATGTTTAGATGAGCATTATTACAGTAGGCTCAGTGGTGCCAAACACCTGGAAATACACCCCAGTTTGCCTGGCAGAGTTGCAGTTCGTGCCCATGTACACCCCTTTTCATTCTCAAGTGTCCCAGTTTAAATAATAAAATACACAGTCATCATATCTAGAAAGCTCTGGACCAACCTCAAGGAGTCCTCCCCAACTTGTCCAACTCCACAGATGTGCATGTTCCTCAGGCCAACATGATAGACTCCCCTGGAAGCTGAGTTTCCTTCCTTAGTGCATCTCTCCACACCTCTGTACCCTAATCCTTGGAGCTGAGTAAACACTTATGCTAATAACATGTGTGAACTTGATCCTTTGTGCGCAAGCCAACAAACCATTTACATATGATACAAGTTGCAGAGGGCTGCACCTTAGACTCATTGGAAAATCCCAGTATGGTACAATTCTGTAAAAGCAGTTCTACAAAGGACAACCTCTTTTCAGGCGAGGAGGTAGCTCTCTCTGATGTGGCTTGGTGAAGCAGATCCGAGGGAAGTTAGGATTTTTCTTAGGAAGCTAAGAGTTCTAGCACATGACTGCATGGATGGTATAATAGACATCTGTTATTTTTACTTCATTCATTCATTTGCCTTCTGATACTCTCACCCTCAGATTTCCCTCTGAGGAACCCAACTGTTATTCCATGTGGTTCTAGTGAAGATGACCACACCTGACTGGGGCAGAGGGCCTGACCTAGGCAGTACATCACAGTCGCTGGCCTTTGTGACCGATTCAAGGATGGCTACGTGGCCAGGTACTTTGCCAGGGATTTTAGGAAAGTGACTTGATGCTGAGAGGATGTCGTGGCTAAGCTGACATGGCCATCTAGTTATCACAAGACACCTGGGTCAGTAGAAGACAGGCTGATATGATCACAAATGCAGCTGTGTGTCAAGTCAGAACTAGTCTTGGACTTTATGAGCCATTTTTGCTTAAGCAAGAATATCCCGTTATATAAAAGCCTGAACTGGTACAAAGACAAAAACTCCTAAATCTGCCTCCTAAACATGGCCAAGACTGGAAATAGTTCAAAACAGAAAGTGTCAGTTACCATAGGTACAGAAAAACTTCTATCATGCACCCACGAAACAAGATTTTGAGGAGCATCTTTCTGGAATACCTGTTATCATTCAGAAGTTGCAAAATGTAACTCTTATGTAACAAAATGATCAAACTTTCATGGAATTGTTGGCAATGAACTAAATAAAATCTGGATACCATCTCAAGTCATGGTTTTAATTTTAGAGTTATTTTTTTAGGCCATTCTTTCTGAAAATAGTTAATTAGGAAGGATAAGATAGTCTACTGAGACCATTCCCAGCTTGTGACAGTAAAACCAAACCATCAACATCTAGGTTATTACTTAGGTGTTTTATCCAATAGACATCTGTAAGCAAAACAACCTATTCGGGACAGTTGGGCTTTGAGAACTTTCTGGGACAGATAAAGTAATTCATGTCTAGGAGAGCTCAGCTCTGATGGTTTTAATTGGTCCATGTTGTTGAGAAACACTGGCCTGGGAATTAGAAAGCCCGAGTTCTAGTTTCAGTTCTGATGCAAAATTAACTCATTAATTCTCCTTTTAACCTCCATGGGCCTCAGTTTTTGTTTTTCTATAAAACAGAGTATTTAGACTAAATTTTAAAAAATTATAAGATTTTATTTGAGCCAACATGATGACTGGGGAGCAAGATCTCAGATGCTTTCCTAGACTAGATGTTGACTAAAGTCTCCTTCAGCTTTCCTGTCTCTTTGTAAATAGAAAGACTTCTTTATATAAACCATATGAATAATTTATAAAATACAGAGATAATAAAAGTGGCATTTATTGCATTTTCCCTTGTATTCATGTATAAACTCTGTTTTCTATACTTGGGCCTTTAGTGAAATAAGACAAAAATAAATCAAGGATCAATGTTATGAAGACCTAAAAGAAAGTATAAAGCATGGGTTTCACATATATATTACTCAATAGGCACTTTCTTATTGGGCTAGGAATATGAATGTGACATGGTCCTTGTCTTCAAGAAGCTTGCAGTATAATAGTAGAGATCCACTATAGTTCAACTAAGTAAGCTTGATCACAAAAGTGAGCACAACCAGGCCTGTGCAGCTCAGTGGATTGAGTGTGGTCCCATGGACTGAGAGGTCCTGGTTTGAGTCCCAGTTGGGGCACATGCCTGGGTTCCGGGTTGCAGGCTCGATCCCCAATAGGGGACGTGCAGGAGGCAGCCGATGGATGTTTCTCTCTCACATAGATATTTATCTCTTTAAAACACCAATAAAGCCCTGGCCGGTTTGGCTCAGCGGTTAGAGCGTCGGCCTGCGGTCCGGAGAGGCCCGGGTTCGGTTCCCGCTAAGGGCATGTACCTTGGTTGCAGTTTGTCCCCGGCCCTGGTTGGTCGTGCGGGTGGCAGCCACTCGACGTGTCCCTTTCACGTTGATGTTTCTCTCTCTCTCTCTCTCTTTCCCTCCCACTCTATCTGAACAAAAAATGGAAAAACGTCCTCGGGTGAGGATAAAAAAAAAAAAAAAAAAAAAAAAAAACACCAATAAAGGCCCTGGCCAGTTTGGCTCAGCGGTTAGAGCGTCGGCCTGCGGTCCAGAGAGACCCGGGTTCGGTTCCCGCTAAGGGCACGTACTTTGGTTGCAGTTTGTCCCCGGCCCTGGTTGGTCGTGCGGGTGGCAGCCACTCGATGTGTCCCTTCACGTCAATGTTTCTCTCTCCTTCCTCTCTCTCCCTCCCACTCTATCTGTACAAAAAATGGGAAAATATCCTCGGGTGAGGATAAAAAAACAAACAAAAAACACCAATAAAAACATATTTTTTTAAAAAGTGAGCACACAGGTTCTGAGCCTATAAAAGGGGAATGTTTAATTAAGCCCTATAGTGCCCTGGCCTGTTTGGCTCAGCGGTTAGAGCGTCGGCCTGCGGTCCTGAGAGACCCGGGTTCGGTTCCCGCTAAGGGCACGTACCTCGGTTGCAGTTTGTCCCTGGCCCTGGTGGGTTGTGCGGGTGGCAGCCACTCGATGTGTTCCTTTCACATCAATGTTTCTCTCTCTCTCTCCCTCCCACTCTACCTGAACAAAGAATGGAAAAATGTTCTCGGGTGAGGATAAAAAAAAAAAAAATAATAATAATAATAATTAAGCCCTATAGTGAGTTTAGAGAAGTCTTAAAGCTGATCATTATAAGGGTATTTTAAAGGATGGAAGGAGAATTCTAGGTAGAGGGTTTATCGGTTTTGAATCCCATTTTAATTTTTATGGAAACAAAGAAGCTATTTGGAAAATGAATGTATGCATGTAAATTTAGACCACCTCCGAATTTGCTCTATTTGAGTTAAGGAGAGCTAACATTGATTGAACGCCTGCCAGGTCTTACACTGTTTTAGGTGTTTTACATGTTACCTCATTTAATACAACCTTTTTAAATATTAGATAACAGGAGCTAGGAAATGGCAAAGTTAGACATTCCAAGTCATGTCTCCTTGTTTCCAGCCCTGATCTTTCCATGACTCTCATTTCTCTCAAAGACAGATTTTCTCCACAGCTGCATAGATTCTGAAGCCTCTCACTTCCACCTGGTTGCTTACCCATTCAGTAGTTCCTCTACTTGAGTTTACCAGCTCTCATTAGCTCTTCTTGGGATTAGTGAAATCTTTCTCAAGCTTGTTGAATAAAAGAATCATCTCTGGGGCTTCTTAAAATGCAGGTTCCCAAGCCTTTGCCCCGGAGATTCTGACTCAAGAACGGGTCGGGACTAGTAGGTGTTTTTAACAAGCATTTGAACCCCATGAGCAGGCACATCGTAGTAACACTGGGTTAGTGTCCTAGCCTAACTGATTTGCCCGTTTCTAAGCCTTACTCCAAACCATTTTTTATCCTCGTTTTTCTGCATTACTCTCAAGGCCCCTGAAGACCTCCTTCCATACGTTACCCATTGTTTATTACCGATAGTAATGAACACTACTGTTCGCCGAGCATTTACTTGTTCACTATCCAGTGTCGCCTCCACCTTGAACCGAGAATTCCATGAAGGAAAGGCTGAACACTGCAGCACCTGGGCGCCCAGGACCTATTTTCTGAACCAGCAAACCCACAAGGCAGTTATTATTATCCTTCAACTTGAAAATATGGAGGAGTGTAAAAGAGAAATAGTAAAGCTGAGATATGAGATCGCCTGTGACATAATCAGTATTTAGCGGTCCCTTCCCAAAGCTTGCCCTCCCGAAGCGAGCGGCCGCCACCCGACCACAACGTGGTCCTCCGGGGGCCACTGGGACCCGCGGTCCGCCCAGCTTTAGAGAAGTGTGATCTTTTCTCCGCGGGGCGGATCACGTGGGCCTGGGGGCGGGGCCAGAGCGCTCGCTGGGTGCGAGCTGTAGGTCACGTGGTGCAAGGGGGCGGTCGCCATGGGGGGCGTGGCCGTAACACCGCGGGAACCGCCGAGCCTAGACTCCTCGCGGGCCACGCCCCCCGGCCCGGGCTCGCGCGCGACGGAGAGGTGGAGGGGTGGAGCCTTCTTCGTCACCTTTCACCCCAGCATGGCTGCGCCCGTGGGACCGGTGAAGTTCTGGCGACCGGGTAAGGCTCTTAGCGGAATGCCGGGCAGATGCGGCGGCCTGACTGGTCTTGGCCCCGCGGCCGGCGTTCTGGGGCCTGCAGACCTGCCCGCAGGCCTCACCTCGGCGGGCTGGCCATCGCCGCCTCAGTGCCGGTCGGTTCTGCGGCTCTGGCGCCCACAGTGGTCCGGAGGGATTCGGGGGTCCGCGCCCAGCCTGGGCAGACATTGTGTGTGACCTTGTTCGAGTTTCTCTCCGGGCCTCATTGACCTCACTCCTGATGCCTGTCTTGCCCAACCCGCGAGATGGGGAAACGCCAAAGCGCCCACGCGTGTCCTGTTACCGCCCTGGGGCTACTCTGGGACCGGACAGGCGGTGCTGCTCAGGATTAGGAGCTCAAGCTATGGTGTCAGACTGCCAGGGTTCGAATTTTCCGCTCTGCCCGTAGTAGCCCAGTGGCTTTGGGCAAGTCACTTAACCCTTCTGAGCCTTAGCCTCCTCACCTGTGCAGCGGGCAGAGCAGTAACATTTATTCTATTGGCTTGAATAACGACCACGACGTGTTGCCTGGCAGAGTAAACGCTCATAAAAAGGGAAGTGTCTTGTTTTGTTTTAGGGTAATTCTTGTTCACTCCGAGTGCCAACCAGAAAGTGAACTCCTTCATATTGGCTGCCACGCACTTTCCCTCTTGCAGGTTAAAACGAATCTCAGTCCCAAAATGCTTTGCTTGTTTTGTTTTAATCTTCCCCATCAGGATTTTACTGAATGTATTACGTGTGAGACCGTTCTAGATGCATTACTCCCTTTCCTTCCATCAGTTTATCGTGAAAAACAAAAGTTTCATTTTTCCACCGCTTGCACCTCTGCAGGTCTGGATGTGCAAAGTATATTGCAGCAAAAATGAAATGAGACAGAGAAGGTAATGCAAGGAAAGCTTTTAAAGGATATTTTAGAGTGGGTCCCTGAAATTCTGACCATACGTATAAGTGATGTAGATAAACCCACACAAAGGGATGTGTTAATTCTTTTATAAAATCTGTAGTTTGTCACTTAACAGTTTTATGATTCAGCATTTTAAGTCATCAGCCAGTTATTCATTCTGAGTTTTATTTGTAGCCAAAACTAAGCTCCCATTAGGTGAGGAGATACCCTCTTTTTATTCAAGCCTTTAATAATAGGTCAAAGTGTTTAGTATAATAAAGGCCTGAATGAGCTGTTGATATTATTTTAGAACATGGGATTACTCTAAGAGTTTTATTTCATTATTTAGTTTATTCATTGAGCTTATACTTATTGAACACCAAATCTTGTGATCAGGAGACAGATATAGAAGACCAGGGCTCTGCTTTGCTCTCAAGGTTTATTTTCTCTCTCCCAGTTATACTATGAAGTTGGGTACCCTTTAGAAGAGATTTTAAAACAAGGCAGAAAAGGATGTGGTAAGGAAAATGGGCTATTGAGTCAGGCAGTAGATCCATCCTTGACTACCATTTACTAGCTTGGTGACTTGGTAAAGTCATTAAAGTGCAGAAAGTCTCAGTTACCTCATCTGTAAATTGGGCATAACACTTACCCAAAGGATTGTTCTGATGATTAAACGAGAGTACATGTAGAGCTGTTAGCACTAGACACATATTAACCATTATAATCATATGGAAGTATAGAGGAGAGGGAAAGATCGAATGTGTGGATGAGAAATACTTCATAAAGATAGTGATATTTTTGAGATGGACACTGAAGCACAAGTGAGGCTTTGTTCCATGCAGAGGTGGGAGAGGAGCTCTAGCTAGGCAAAGGGTGCAATATGAACAAAGACAAAGTGGGATGGGTGCCTCAAGAATGTCTGAAAAACCAAAATACTTGATGAGTAGTGTGATAGTGTTAAGTGGTAGGGTATACAGGGTGGGGCACAAGTAGCTTTACAGTTGTTCAAATGGAAAATAATGCAATAATAAATAATAACACAAGAATATAAACTCTGCTTTGCGTACTTACCACTGTAAACTACTTTTGTTCCACCTTGTATTTTGGGGTATAGCAGGAGATGAAGCTAGAAAGATGGGGGCCTCATTGTGAGACCTCTTATGGCAAGTTAAAGAATTTGGACTTTATTGCTTTTAAGCAGGAGATGACATAATCAGGTTTATTTTAGACAGATAACTTTGGCAGTGCTGTGAAGAATGGTTAGGAGAAGAAATTAGAGTCGGGCACCCTTAAGAAAAAGTGCTACTAAAATTGAGGGGTCCGGCCGGTGTGGCTCAGTGGTTGAGCACCGACCCGTGCACCAAGAGGTCACCCATACACCATGATTCCTGGTCAGTACACATGCCCAGGTTGTGGGCCCAATTCCAAATGAAGGCATCCAGGAGGCGGTCAGTCGATGTTCTTGCTTGTCGATGTTTCTGTCTCTCCCCCTCTCACTTCCTCTCTCTCTAAAATCAATAAAGGAAAAAATATTTTAAAAAAATTGAAGAGGGATATTGAAAGCCTTAATTTTAGTCTTGGAGCAGAGAGGAGGGACCTTATTGAAGAGACATTTTAGAGGCAGATATAGGAGAAGGTAAAGTCAGTAATGACTCAAATTTCTGGGTTAGGTGACTATATAGGTAAGTGGTTCTCAAATTTTGCTGTGTGGTTGAATCACTTGGGAAGCTTTTACATATTGCTGTTCTGTCATACCCTGTGGCACTAAATCAGAAGTCTGGAGGGCTAGGAACCAAGCATCAGTATTTTTTAAAGATTCCCCAGCTGATTCCAGCATGTCTCAAAGTATGGGAACGACTAGTCTAGGTAAACTGTTGTCATTAACGGAAGTGAGAATGGATTTAGAACATAATGTACTTACTGGGCCCTAACTTTGTGCTAGTCACTTTTACTTTCATCATCTAGTATCACTCTCATTTTACAGATTAAGAAACTGAAGATCAAGGTATGAAAGTAGGGTATGGGAAATATGGTGAAGGTCATGAAGGTGGTTGAGGCTAGACATAAGGCTAGATGTTGGAATCACGAACATGTCCTGTAGTCTGGGAGTCACAAACTCAGGTAGCTGCAAGCATCTTTCAGACCGTCTAAATAAGTGAAGCTGTCAGGTGGGATAATAGGGAGTGGTGAGGACTATGGCCAACGAGTATGCCTACACTGATAGATATACACCCAAGCTTGCATATGCTATCTAAAGCAGGAAGCTGTATTTGGTTCTACCTAATGGAGCTCAGAGTTGCAAGAGTCTTTTTTTAAGCCTAATATCCAGATTTGAATAGGAACTTTTTACTTTTTAATTGAACTATTTCAAACATTTGTTTTTTGTTTATTTGTTTTTGTTAATCCTCACCCAAGAATATTTTTTCCATTGATTTTTAGAGAGAGTGGAGGGTAGAGGTGGGGAGAGAGAGGGAAAGAGAGAAATATCCATGTGAGAGAGAGACATTGATTGGTTGCCTTCTGCGCGAGCCTGACTGGGGCAGGGATCGAACCTGCAACCAAGGTACGTGCCCTTGACCAGGCAGTGAAACTGAGACCCTTCAGTGTGCAGGCTGACTCTCTAACCACTGAGCCACATGGACCAGGGCCAAACATTTTAACCAAGGCATGTTTGGGTACCTTGAGTAAATAGTTGGTGATCTTGACTAGTTTGTGATTTCTGCCTTAAGAGCTTTGCATGAGCTGCCTAAGATTTCTGTAGAAAACTACCACTAGCACAAGTGGGTCAGAAAGGCCTGGTCATTTTTCTTCATTCATTCAATAGATATTTAATGATTGCTGACCACTTGCCTGACAAAAACTTTATAGCAACAACTTTGGAGATTTTTTTACCTGACCTACAGTGAAGAATGTATTGTGCTATGATCCAGCATGTACACACACACAGTCACACTCCTACACCCCTGAAAAAAGTTGTACATAAACAGTATTGCTTTCTGGGACACACACTGATACTTTCCATTCTATTTCTCATTCCTTATTAAAAAATGCTGGTCATGATCCACTACATTAATTTCATAACTCTCTGATGGATCACCACTCAAACCGAAAAACTGAGGAGGAATGCTGGATTGGTGTGGGTGCTGTCTTCAGCCTTGGTTTATAGGTGGAAAATGAAGGCATTTGTGGTTTGCAAGAATTACAAACTGATTATTCCCATAAGCCTAGAGAATGTTCCCAAGGGAAAAACAACCACAGGCAGCCAGAATGGGCCGTGGGATGTATATAAAGGGGAAGCAGTCCTTTGGCTGAATGAAGTCTTTTGTAAGGAGGAGACATGCTCAATATTGATTGACAGCAGCTGTTCTTGTAAAAGATCCCATAACAGAATGTTATACTTAGGTGGACCAGGAGGGGTGGGGTAGTGAAGGAGACACCTGGGTGGATTAGCCTAGGTGGTGAGGGAAGAAGAGACCTTACAGGAGCAATGCTAAAATGTTCTTGATGTGCTGTAAAGGGTTAAAATGTGTTTTGAAAAGGAGAAAATTCAGAACAAACAGCTGATGAGGGAGGATAAGGTATTCTTTGCAATAGTTTTCTTGGGTAAAGGTTTCAAGAAATTACTAGGATACAGTGATAATAATGTTGTGTATAACGAGGGAAGGAAGGAAACCATTTTCTGAGCACAGGCTTTGTTCCAGGTACTATTCTATCTTTTATCTGGAAAGAAAGGCCAACATTTTGGCAAAAACAGTGCAGCAGTGTTGGGTTGCAGCCCCTTGGAGAGCTTCTTGGATGAAATCTGAAATTGGCCCCTATAACAGAGGGCAGGGAGAGACCAAAGAAAAAGGCAGGCTTTCTTCCAGATTGGTAGGTGGCAGGTTAATAAGCAAAGGAATTTACATATGAGGCTTGTCATGGACATTGGAAAATGAATAGATTGCCACACCCACTGGCCAAATCTTTAAAAAATATTATTATATAGAGATCTTAAGTGGGGTCAGTCAGTCACATACACAGGGCCTTAATTGGGTTTAGTCATGCACACAGTCCAGAGAGTCTCATCCCACATTTCTGTCTCAAGGCTGAGTCCTTGGGCAGCGTCTAGGCCAGGGAAAACAAGCGGAGTGCACCTTCCAAAGCAGAGAAATGGGTGAGGAGCTCCCAATTGCCTGGGTCCAACTCTCAGGTCAAGCTGGTAGTCTTCTTTTCTTGATGATCTTCCCTAACAAGCAGTTCCTGACTTTTGGCAATCCTGGCCCTCTGAAATGATGTTCCTAGAAATGAATGGAGAAGGGATCAGAGATCTCTGGCACTGATTCTAAACCCAGCATTTTGCATTCTGATAAACTACATTCTGGTGTATTTTTCAGGAGAGGGCGTTCATAGCCATTGATTAGATTATTGAAAGGGGATTTGGGACCCCTAAAATGTAAACCTAAATCACTGGGCTAAATATTCTTGTCATAAAGGCCCTGTACTTTCACATACCATCACAGATTCTGAGTTCAGAAGACCTTTGAGATGATAGTTTTGGGTAATTATCCCTGAGGCAATCCTTAAAAGAAAGCTGTGCAGCATGTATTTGAACTTCTAAGGACGGTTTTTATTGATTCAAAAGGTACCACGCCCCAGGGCTGAATAGCTCTAACTTTTAGAAATTATCTCCCTTATGTTGAGTTGAATTCTGAATCCCGTGTCTTTTACTTATTACTCTTACTTCTGTCCTAGGGTTACATGAACAAATCGGCAGGAAAAGTCATGGAGCCGGTCATAGAAATGCTTCTCCTAAAGCATTTTCCTTTTCAGGCTAAAAATCCATGGTACCTCGAATAGTTTTTCATGACATATGGCTTCCCTATTCTTTACCACCCTGAGCACCAGGTCGTCATTGTTCTTACCAAGAAGGTTTAATCTGCTCAGCAAAGGGGTTTCTTAGAACAGCACTTCCCACCCACCCTCTCCAATTCTGTGATTCAAGTGGAGGTTGCCATTGATTGCATCCCAGTCCGCTGGCCATGGCTGATTGGATTGGCCTGGGCATTGGGCCTAAGCTGGGAGAAAAAGAGCCTCCCCCACCCCCAAATAGCACACACCTGGGAGTTTCAGTCTCCCCTTACTGGGTCTTTAATTTTCTACTTAGCACTTACTACAAGTTCATGCACTAAGTTATGTTCTGTTGGGAGGAAGACTAGAAGAAGCAAGTAAGCTGCACGAGGGTAGGGCCTGCCTCCGCAGTGTTCATGCTGTATCTCTTGCAGTTCCATCCCTGTTGGGTGAGTGAATGAATGATTGTTGGAAGAATTGTGAGACTGAGCTCTGGCACTGTCAGCAGCCTTGATTTTAGCTCGTAAGAGACCGAGAGGAACTTGTCGAGAGGTGCAGAGATGAGAGGAGGAGAAAGCCCAGGCAGCATTTAAGTAGTCCTTAGTTCGTCATCCTTGAACCTTGCTGCCATCCTCAGTAATAGGACTCATCCTTTGCCTCAGCTACTCCCATTGCATTTCTTGTCATTTTTATTAAGTGTTGAGTAATACCAACTTAGAGGCCAGACCTGAAAACATTGTCTTCTGTAATATACATTTGTGTGTGGCCAGCTTGGAGCTCACTGGGACTGTATCTCCGTTGTTCTTGAAACTGCAGGTGAAGCTTACAGAGAACATTTTTGTATTTTCAAAGGTATTTTTCTAGATGCTTTTCTGAAGTTAAAGTTTAATATCTCTTAAAAGTTTGAGATCAAATGCATTGCTTCTGTTGTATAGCTTCGTATTTGAATTTGTAACTTTTGCACATTTTTCTGTTCACTATATCAGAATTTGAAAAAAAATTTCTGTTACAGGTACAGAGGGACCAGGTGTCAGCATCTCTGAAGAGAGACAAAGTTTAGCTGAAAACTCTGCAACGACCATTGTTTACAACCCTTATGCTGCCCTTTCTATAGAGCAGCAGAGACAGAAGCTGCCAGTGTTCAAGGTACATTGAATAAACATGTTCAGTTTGCTGACCTGAAGCCATCTGCAAGAGTGTTATACTTGGCACCGAAGTGAATGGTGGCCTCTTATCCTAACGACTCTTTAGAATGAAAGAGCTCAGAGACACCCTTATCCGAAGGGATTACCTTTTCAAAATATGTGTGTTAGTTGACCTAATACATCTTCAAAGTCCTTAAGATTTTTTTTTTAGTTCTTCTGTACTGAAAACTGGAAGAAATGGAATGATGTTCTTTTCTCTCCTCTTTGCTTTCAACTATGGACAAGTTCAAACATACAGAAAACAGAGAAAAGAGCACATTGAACTTCTATGCATCCAGCTTCCATAGATTACTAACATATGGCCAATTTTGGCTTCCTTTTTAAAGGCATATTTTCTTAAACAAGATTACTTGGGAATATGAGGTGGTTTCTGTTGAAGAGGTTAATTCCCATTGAGACAGTGTCAGCATTTCAGTGTGTTTATTACGTACCAGGTGCACATCCAGACACTTGATTTCATTTGTCTCATGAAATGAGCACATCTCTTGTCATCTCACAAAATATCAAAGTGTAAACTAGAATTCAGAATGTGCTTGTTGACAGTGAGCCATAGTTCTTCAGTATAGGTGAACCCAGTCCATGGACACACTTTCTCCCTGTTGCCAAATCCACTTGGGAAGCCAAATTGTAATCAGGAAGTAAGCTCAGAGCCAAAGGTGATTTAGACATAGTTGAAGGGTATTTTTTTCATATATCCCCTAATGAAGGGTGATGAGCTGACCCTGCTTCACTGCCTCACCTAATGTCTCTGGAATGACCTGAGTAGGTGTGACCACCAGCACGCCTGTCTTTCTGTCTGCCTTCTGGACAGTGCTGGGTGAAAGCTGCCAAGTTCTTATACTTAGGGAGTCCCACTGTCTAGATTGTTAATAATTAATTCCTCTTTTATTAATATATTCTTTTTTCAAATGGATATAAAATGGCAGCCCTCTTAATTTAGCCAAGTGTCGTTCATTAGAATTTTGCATGGCCCCAAGCGTATTTTTTCTTTTGTGATTCCTTTTATTATGAATGGGCTCATACATTTTTTTTTCATAACTTTAAGAATCATTTGAACTCTTTTTTCTGTGAACTGTTTTGTTCATGTCCTTTACCCATTTTCTATTGTCTTTATTCTGTTTCCTTGTATGAATTATTATTGCATCAAGGAAATAAGCCTTTTGGCCCTGGCCAGGTAGCTCAGTTGGTTGTGGCCCCATACATTTTAGTCACTCACACACTGACAGTCTCTGGGTTTCTTTCTCAGGTGATTAACCTCATCTACTATATGTGAATGTAAACCATTTTGACCCTCAGGAGAAGAGCTCATAGTTTCACTGTTGCTTTCTCCCCAATGAGGGGCACAGTTTGAGCTGTGAGGAGGTGTCTGGACTGTGGAGTTCAAACCCAAGCTTCATCATTTGTGTGCTGTGTGACCTTGACCTTGCTTCACCATCTGAGCTTCTGTTTTCTTATCTATAATAGAAGACTAATGTGTGCGCACCATATATTGTGATAACTTTTATGCTCAGTTAGAATTGTATCAGCTGACTCCAGCAGTACCTAAGAGTTGGAAATAACATTTTGATAGTTCTTTTAAAACTTTACTTTTCTTCTGCAAACAGCTCATTTCATAATGTTTGAATGTCTTTGTTTAGGTCTTTTGAGAAAATGTATGGTTTTTTATAATGTATGGTTCTATTTTTTCAGCTTAGGAATCATATATTATATTTGATAGAAAACTATCAGACAGTGGTGATTGTTGGAGAAACAGGATGTGGGAAAAGCACGCAGATTCCACAGGTGAGTGTGTATTTAAATGTGCCTTTATGTTAGATTTGATTGGAAGTGTCTTGTAATAACTCTTCACTATCATTTGCATTTTCACTATCTTCTCTCAGGGAGAATTCAACCCAACTAGACATTTTTTATTAAACTTATAATTTTTTTATTAGTACTGAAGTAACAGTTTTTGATTTAACATAATTCCAAAATAACTGAATAACCATACTCTGAAAGTAACAGTGGGGACTGAATTACAGAGGTGTAATGCATAGTTTTTGTCTTCAAAAAAATATAGTTGAAGAGGAGGGGTAAAATGAATATTGCTATAGTTATAAATAAAAATTGACTATTTTAAAATTACAGAGGGACACGGGAGAAGGGCCATGTTAAATTACTGAGAGATTATCAGAGAATAATAGGACTAATAATTAGTAGTAATAAGTATTATAATAAGTGCTCATAAAATGATCATTTTTTTTTTTTTTATCCTCACCCGAGGACATTTTTGCATTTTTTGTTCAGACAGAGCGGGAGGGAGAGAGAGGAAGAGAGAGAGAGAAACATCGATGTGAAGGGACACATCGAGTGGTTGCCACCCGCACGACCAACCAGGGCTGGGGACAAACTGCAACCGAGGTACGTGCCCTTAGCGGGAACCGAACCCGGGTCCCTCTGTACCGCAGGCCGACGCTCTAACCGCTGAGCCAAACCGGCCAGGGCATAAAATGATCATTTTAAACAATCTAATACTGTTAATCCGTTTTGGATTTTTAAAATGCATATAATCAAATAAATATATAAAGCAAATAAGTACATAAATAAATATAATAAAATTTTATATCCTGGCTAGTGTGGCTCAGTGTTTGAGCATCAACTCATGCACTGAGAGGTTGCCGGTTCGATTCCTGATCAGGGCACATGCCCGGGTTGTGAGCCTGATCCCCAGTGCGGAGCATGCAGGAGGCGGGTGATCGATATTCTCTCTCATGGATGTTTTTATCTCTCCCTTCCTCTCTCTAACATCAATCAAACAAACAAACACAAAAAATTTTATGTACATTATAATCTCTTGGCACATACACATATATAAAAATCTAATTATTTTTATTTATTCTAACTAAAACATTTTGTATGATTGATATTTATATTGAGCTGTGTCTGTGTGTCCTTTAAAAGTCTTTGTTCTACAGATTTAGCTCTGTTCTTTCTCCCCCCTCCCCCACCTTAGGACTATTCTGAGTGACTCATGGATAGGTTTTATTCCTTTAAGCAGTTCTAATACATGGACATTTTTATAAGACTGGGGAGTCAGAATGTTGAAATTTGCCTTGGTTCTCCTGATTATTAGCTGTGATGTGAACTTAAATTACCTAACATTTCCAAGCCTCAGAACCCTCATTTGCAAAATAATTTCCAAAATATTTGTTAGGACAAAAATCTGTTATTTCTTTTCTCAGTGAATTTAACACAATACAGAGTGCCTGGGGGGAGATTGTTTCTGGAGAAGTGGTGTCAGATGTATACACAGATGTCATTTTATTTGCAGTACCTTGCAGAGGCTGGCTGGACAGCTGAAGGAAGAGTTGTAGGAGTGACCCAGCCTCGAAGAGTGGCTGCCGTTACGGTGAGTTTCCGTTTTTCCGTTTTTTTTGTGTTGCAAAGACTCCTTCTGTCTTATATTTCAGTAAAGCCTTATTTTTTTTGTTTCCTAAAACCTACAAATGAATATGACATTACTACTTAAGAATTTAATTCTTCGGTTTAAAAAGAAGTATGGCTTGATTATTTTTATAAAATTGATCCTTTTACATTATGAATTTTTTAAGTAGTAATAACGTACAGAGGAAGTTAAAACACACAAATAAAAAACAAAACAAAACAAAACAAAAAACCCCAAAATCTCACCATACAGCAAAAACATTATAAATGTTTGTGAACATCATTCCAAGCTTCTCTTTTATGTTCACATAAAGATGAGTGGTTAGCTGGATGGATAGAAATAACTTAATAAAAATATGATTATAGTCATATATTTGCTTTTGTTGAATTTAACAGAGGAGGACATTGAAGTTAAAATATGAGTAATTATACTGGACTTTGGATAAATATTTGTTACCACAAGATAATTTATTAAATCTTGAAAACAAAGAAAACAGAAAAAGCTTTAGGATGTTACTTATTTTTGAAACTATGATAGGTAGTTTCCTGTTATAAGAGTAAATTAGCACACTTATTCTTTCCATCTTTCCCCCTCCATTTGTTATAGATGCAGTGCTATACTTTTTATTTCAAGATTTATAAATGTACATATTTTTTCTGTAATCATAACTCCCACAAGTGTTTCATTCTAGTTTGGTGTTAATGTTCATCACTAAATACTTCCATTGTTTTGCCAACCTTGAATTGCTCATTTTGCTTTATTTCTTGATTGGCTGAATTTTATATGCCTGAGAATGTTTGATTATGTTCTTTGTTGATATAAAATTATTAGTAGTATTGTTAATCCTTACCTGGGGATATTTTTCCATTGATTTTTTTTTTAAGATAGAGTGGAAGGGAGGGAGGGGTAGAGAGAGAGAGAAACATTGATGTCAGAGAGGGACATCGATCCCTTGCCTCCCACATGATCCTGACCAGGGCTGGGGATTGAACCTGCAACCCCGGTAAATGCCCTTGACCAGGAATTGAACCCAAAACCCTTTAGTTTTGGGCTTATGCTCTAACCACTGAGCCAAAGCAGCCAGGGTGATATAAAATTCTTGATTCCACTCTCTTTCCCTGGGAACAGTGCAGACATTGCTGTCTTGCCTTTGCCATGGAGGATCACTATACAGAAGTCTAAGGTCCAGCAGGGTCCACCCCCCCTACTTCCTGGCTTACTTTTTCTGCACGAATGCTTTTAAGATTATTTTTACACAAGGATATTTCTTTGTTTTGTTGTTAATTTTCACTTCAGAATATTTTTTTCCACTGGTTTTTGGAGAGAGTGGAATGGAGGGAAAAGAGACAGACAGACAGACAGACAGACATTAGTGTGAGAGATCAGTTGCCTCACAGCTGAGGCAGGGGATAGAACCTGCAGCCCAGGTATATGCCCTTGACTGGGAATCGGTGTGTGGACTAATGTTCTGACTACGGAACCATACCGGCCAGGGAGCACCAGGATATGTCTTGATTCTGATTGCTGTCTCATTTTTTTCTTAAACATGGAAAAACTTTTAATCTTCAGGTTCAAATCTTTTTATATCAGGCAGATTTTCTTCTAATTATAACTTGGCATATTTTTCTGTCCCATTTATTCTCTTTTTCTAAGAGTATCAATTAAGTGTATATTAGATCTCCTTTGTCTATTTTTAGTGTTTATCAGTATCTCTGGAATCATGTGCTCTTTTCCATGTTGTTTTGTGAGATTTCTTTTAAGTCTGTCCACAATTTTCATGATTGTTTGTAGTCAAATTTATTGTATTTTGGTTCCTTTATATTTTTTATCTAGGTCTCATAATTCTTTCTTTTTTTGTTTAATTTTTAAAATATGTTTTTATTGATTTTTTGAGAGAGAGGAAGGGAGAACGAGGGAGAGAGACAGAAACATTGATGAGAGAAAACATCAATCAGCGCTGCTTCCTGCATGCCCCACACTGGGGATCAAGCCCCCAACTGGGCATGTGCCCTGACCGGGAATTGAACCTGGTGACCTCTTGGTGCATTGCTCAACCACTGAGCCACACCAGCCGGGCGGTCTCATAATTATTTCTTTGAATATTTTTTTTCTTTATAGATAGAGAAGTGAATATTTAGAATGGGAGAAGGTATTATAATTTTAAAAAGCAGATAATGCCACAAATATTTCTTAGAAGTTGAGAAAAATAACAGTACTTTTTTTAATTAACTGCCTGACACATTTCTGTAAAATTTTTAGGCAATTTTTGGCTGCTTTTCCATGACAGTGATTTTCTATCACAGTATTTTCCTATAGAGAGAGTAGAGCAATATTTCAGTATTACTACAGCATGGTGGATTCAGGTTTGCTTTTTATTATTGACACTGTGGAAAAGTTTCTTTTAATTTCATAACTGGTATTTTTATAGCACTGCATAAATTTTAGAGATTGTTCTCAAATTTGGGGAAAGCCTTTCTAGCGTGTCTCATGTCTTCAGTCTGGCTTCTGGTCTGGATATTTGAGACCTTGTTTCTCTTTGACTCTTTTTTGACTTTGCATGTGTTCCTTAAGCTGTTTTTAGCTTAAGCTTGTGATTTTTTTTGAAAGTGGATTTCTTTGGCTGAATTCTACTTCTGGGTTTTTTTTGTTTTTTTTGAGTAATACTTCTAAAGTTTATTTTTAAACTTTTTTTTTTTTTACTTGTATTCCTTTCCTTCTTTCTTCCTTGGCTTTAATGCATTGGGTTTGTATTAGTACTTTTAATGGCTGCAGAATTGTGAGGTTGTACTGGTCTGGATAATAATGACCTCTCACCAAGTGTGTTATCCTCCTTTGCTGGAGTATGAGGATGAGTATCGGGCAGTACACTTCTTAGTGATTTAAAAGGTCTGTAATGGCTGAAGATGAAATTCTCTGGGCGCTCTGATTTGGGATTTGCTGCTTGCTCCTGATTGCCTGCCTCTCCCTCAACTCCTCTCCCTTGTGATTCTTTGCTGTCAAAATGGGTCCCCCACTGAGACATTTCCTATGTCTTCAGGGCCTGAACACACTGCCGCTTCTGTCTTCCTAATAGAAGGATTGTCCACCCTGCCCTTTAGGGTGGTAACACTTTAAGGGAGCCGGCAGCCTGCGAGGAGGCTAGGGCTTCTCTTCGGATTCATACCTCACAGTATTTGGCAGCGCTCCTTCCTAATTCATTCGGGCCCTTGGTGGTTTCCTTCGTTCATTGAAGATGGAGGTTTTCATTGATAATATGTTTTATTTCTTTTGTTGTTTTAAATCAGCTCTGAGAGAGTGCCATCTTTACCTGGATGAGACATAATTCTGTTTCCTTGAATTATTTTTGCTGTGTGCTGAGTTTTAATTATTTTGTAATGCCTTTTCCCTGAAGTTCATTTTCTAATTGTCTTCAAGTTAGACATTATTGATAAATATTTTCAAAGTCTTGTGTGTGTGTGAAAATGGAAATAACAGTTTGGAAACTACTTAACCTTTTATATCACAAGAGATGACTGAATTACTTAAAATTTTCCTATTTGTGGTTTGGAATCCCAGGGCCTAATCAGTTTGCATTTTAGCTCCAAATTTGTAGCCGTTGATAATTTACATGAAACTGCATGCTTTCCCTGTAAAGAACCAAACGTGTATAAATTAACCATGTAACGTTAATTGAGCTGTCAGGTTTGAAAGGCTAAATCTCAAAAGTACTTTGTGTGCAGATTGAAATCTGAAAACAATCTCAGAGCCTAGAACAAACAGATTGCATAAGCAGTTGCTTGATCTCTGTGAGAGGCAGTTACTATTGAGTATTATGTTCACTGGGCTCAGATGGTCTGGGTCTGCCTTCAAGGCTAGGCCCTGCCTGAGCTGTGATTCTTATTTCACTTTCCCTCTTTGTGAAAAGGAGGGTATCTTGCCCATCTCATGGGCCGTATGCATCTTTAATGAGGACAATTTCTGAAAGCTTGGGGCACAGTACTTGCAGGTAGTAGGTGCTCAGTGATTGGTTTTTCTTTTTACCTCCCTTTCCCTATATTTATTTGTTTTTGTCAAAAAGATAATATTTATCCTGTCAAATTGATGAGGCTTTTGGGAGTAGAACTTAATAGAGGTAACAATCTATTAAAAAGCCAATATATTATGACCTTTCAAATATCAAGTTGTGTGGTCATAAATCAATTTTTTAAAAAAGAGCCTGAGAGCCCTGGCTGGTTTGGCTCAGTGGTTAGAATGTTGGCCTGCGGACCAAAGAGTCACGGGTTCCATTCCAGTCAAGGGCACGTACCTTGATTGCAGTTCGTCCTCAGTCCTCAGCCCTGGTTGGGGTCCTGTGGGAGGCAGAGTCGATGAGTCACTCTCGTGTCAATGTTTCTCTCTCCCCCTCTCCTCCCTCCTTCACCCTCCCACTCTATCTGAGATAAATGGAAAAATATCCTTGGGTGAGGATTTAAAAACAAAAACGAGTTCGAGGCCCAGGCCAGGTAGCTCAGTAAGTTAGAGCATTGCTCCCAGTATGCCAGGCTTGCGGGTTCGAGCTCCGGTCAGAGTACATAGGAATCAACCAATGAATGTATAGCTAAGTGGAACAACAAATCGATGTTTCTCTCTCTCAAATCAGTAAAAAGAAATAAAAGTTTCAAAATAAATTTTTTTTTGGAGAGGGTTGGTTCATTTATACTCATTCTTATATGCCTGTTTTCCCCATCAACTCCTAGTATTTCTGTGCACACATTCTCTATTTGTGCTATTTTCTGAGATTTATTATGTAATTGTAGGGTTGAAATTGAAACAATAACAATAACAAAACTGCCCTGGTGAAATACTGGTTATCAGGAAATATAACCTGCAGAGGTAGGGCAGTGTAGGATGAATTTCTGGTTTCATAAGATGTTTTGAAAGACTGCGGTGTAGGTCAGCTGCTGGAAGATTGATTCTGTTTTGGCCTACCAGATCTGTAATTTCAAGTCGCTAGGCAGAGCCACTTCTGATCTTCATCTGCTCTTCAGTTTCTTAAACACTGGTGTTCTTGGCTTGGGGAGCTGTGTGCAGTGAGACTGGGCTCCCAAGCCTGAGGCTGCTGTGGCCCAATGGCTGTAGCAGTAAACTGCTTCAGGACACCTGTGCCTGCCCCCATTCCAAACCCAGGACTCAGGGACTTCATGGGCAAGTGGCCTCACGTTGGGTGGGTGTGCCAGGTCCCCAGGAAACCTCTATAATACTGCTTCCCTTTGGTTCTTTTCAGTTCGGTAATTGATACAATGAATGTTCCACTCTTTATTTTCTTTTAAACAAAATTATAAGCATTATTTTTCTTCCACTTTTTTATTCATTATTTCAGTTATTTTCTATTAAGTTAATAATCTTTGACTGTCCTTGGGGAGGTAGGAGATCTTGCTGTTGGAGTCTTTTTTTGTTTCTCACATTCACCTTTTATTTGTCATATATTGGTAGATGAAAAATCTACAAATAATTTATGTTCTTCATAATATATTATACGCTTTGTTTTCTAGTTTCACTGTATTATGTTAACTTGGATCCTTGGTTAATCTTCTCATCAGTTCATCTGCCTTTTTTCCTTTTTAATCTGTATTCTTGTCTTTATTTCCTCTTTTAATGGTTTTGGTAGCTGGGACACTGTTGCGCATTGTTTTAGATTATCTTGCTCTGGAAACATTATTCTTTTTGCCCCTCAAAAGAAAATGAATTTGGCCCAGTAATGAATTTGATCATTCCTGTTCCACTGCCTTCATGGTCCAGTGGAAGGTGCTTTATTTCAAGGTATGAAGACATGAAAATTTATGCCTAGTTGGTGTATGAAAGAATAAAGAAGGCTTTAGGAACAGAGTGAATCTTGTCATTTCTTCTGCTTCCTTTTTTGCTTGACCACCAGAAAATTTAGAGCTGAATTTGTAGCTCAATTTAAATAACTTTGGCATATCTTTTTTTTTTTTTTTAATCCTCACCCGAGGACATTTTTTCATATTTTGTTCAGATGGAGTGGGAGGGAGAGAGAGAGAGAAACATCAACGTGAAAGGGACACATCGAGTGGCTGTCACCCGCACAGCCCAACCAAGGCCAGGGACAAACTGCAACCGAGGTACATGCCCTTAGCTGGAACCGAACCTGGGTCTCCCCGGACCGCAGGCCGACGCTCTAACCGCTGAGCCAAACCGGCCAGGACCATATCTATGTTTTTAAATTTTTCTCACTGTCCTTGATCTTTTGAATTTCATCTGTCATTTCTTTGATCCTGATCCTGTAACATCTTTATGTGATTCTGTTTTTATTGCATATGTTCTTATAATTTGCCTCAAGTTGATTGAAGAGTGAGGTGAGATATATAAAGTTAATAAATCACAAAGGTTATCACACTTGTTCTCTAATAACCTGCCCTTTTACTTTTCATTTTCTCCTGTGTTCACGTATTGTTTAAAAATAAGTGACCTTTAGATTTTCTGTGATGTGTGCTCTGTGCAGTAATTGCTATGTCTCTATTTTCAGCATGATCTTTCTTCCCAAAGGTTGCAGGGAGAGTAGCTGATGAGAGGGGTGCAGTGCTGGGCCACGAGGTGGGCTACTGCATCCGCTTTGATGACTGCACTGACCCGCTGGCTACAAGAATTAAGGTGAGGTACTCAAGCTGCTTGTTCTGTTGTGAATAAGGGAGACGATTATTTGGGGGGAATTGAAAACATGCAGTGTGACTGCTGATGGGACACCGATACCATCGCCCTCTGGGAATTTAGTCTGCCGGGAATTTAGTCTTAGTCCTGAAGGAACCTTTTTTCTACAGATGGGGAGGTTGAGGACCTGGGAGGTTGAATTACTTGCCTCATGTTATGTGCCTGTCAGTGATAGTACCAGGACTCAAAGCTGTCCTTCCTTGTGTGTGTTTTATTGTTTTCCACCAATTCACATAGCTGTCTAAATATAGAAACTTGCCTATAAATAAGGTCTAAAAACAGGGGCAAGGTAGTATAAATTGATAAAGTAACGAATTTAGTTTTACTAGTTAGAACTTTCTAATTTTTACATGATAATGGATTTTGTATCTGTGTTCTTTGACCTACTTGCCAACATTAAAATAATTAGTATCAATAGTAATTGCATACAGTCACCTCAACAGAGTGTCTACTAGGTACCACTATGCTGGAATCAAAGACTAATCAAATAGTACTCTAAAACCATGAATGAAAATGCTCTGATGAAGTGAAAATGGGTTATTAGAATCTCAGTTAACCTCTCAATTTGGAACAGAGGAAAATTTGAAATAATCAGATGAGCTAAATGAACATTGTAGTGGTTTGTAAAAAATATGGACCTTGTTTGTCAAACTTCTGTATTTTGTTACCTTTACATTCATTTTACTAGGTAAAGGGAATATTCTTCTGTACCACTGAATATATTTAAACTGTCTAATTTTTAGATAAATTTCAGTGGATTATATAACTGAATGATTGTTTTCAAATCTTTCATGAAAAGCTTTTGTATTCCATTTGGTCATGATTTCAGGGCATTCATTTCTTAACTGGTGGACTGTCATTGGTGGCAGGCTCTCAGTTTCACTCCAGTGTGTCTGTGTGGCAGCTGGTACCAGTTCCAAGAAAAACGTGGGAATGCATCCTGCTCTTATAGACAAAAAGTAAAAACACTAACATACAGCATGTGAGGGAGGTTTTAGCCTTGTCAAAGTGCTGAACTGTTTTGGATGAGAGTAACAATATCTCATTCTTGCTGCATATTTCTAAAGCATTTTATAAACATTCATTAATCTTAAATGATAATAGGTGACATTTTTAAAATTATCTTTTTATTTTTATTTTATTATTATTATTTTTAAATCCTCACCCAAGGATGTTTCCATTGATTTTTAGATAGAGTGGAAAGAGGGGAGGGAGAGAGGAAGAGAGAGAGAGAAACATCCATGTGAGAGAGACACATCGATTGGTTGCCTCTCAAACGACCCAACAAGGGCCAGGGATCGAACCTGCAACCCAGGTTTGTGCCCTTGACCAGGAATCAAACTCACAACTCTTCAGTCCAACTCTCTAACTGCTAAGCCAAACCGGCCAGGGCTAGCTGACATTCTTGAACACTATGTACTGGGTCCTGTGCTAAACACTTTATGTGTGCTATTTCATTTAATTCCCACAATAACCCTCTGAAGTAGATACTTTTTAAAAAAAAATTTCTATTTTACAAATGAGGAATCAGGCTCAGAGAGGGTAAGTAACTTGCCCGAGGTTCACACAGCTAGTAAGAGGTAGAGCCAAGACCTGAACTCCCAGCAGTCTGACACCATAGCCTGTGTTCTTAACCACAGTCACTTCCAGCCTCCCTAAAATAAGATCAGTTGAAGTTGAAGTTAGTCACCTCAAGAGAGCTGCAAGTCCATAGTTTTAAGAACAGTTATTTCATACCGGTGCCATTCCCTTCGGCAGACACAGGTTTGTCTTTACCGCCTGTCAGCAGGACCGTTGGTGCCGGCCTGGAGGAAGTGAGGCTCAGCTGATGTTCACAGAGTAAATGCAGGTGAAATTCGGCTGAAAGAATGCAAACTCATGTTTGAAGTCTTGTTTATGAGCAGCTCCATTGCTTAATAACTGAAATGTTGGGGCATTTCCTCATTGTGCTTTGTGGGAATTGTCTTGTACACTTGCTGATAAGGAGGTTGTTCGGTTGTACTTAAACTTTTTAGGAAAAATCATTAATATACAGTGTAAATGAATTCTTTCTAAAATTTTTGTGTTTTTGTTTTATAGTTTCTGACTGATGGAATGTTGGTCAGGGAAATGATGGTTGATCCTTTGTTAACAAAATATAGGTAAATGTCTTTTTCCTATGGTAACTTTCCTAAAGTTTCAAAAGTACACAAGGAGGTTGAAAAGCAGTTGTGTTCATACTGAAGGTTCACATCTGTGTTCAGCTGCCCTAAAGCTTTGTCTTTACCTTGGCTGTTTAGACCGTTGATGTTCTGCTCAGAATTTACACACAGTCAGAAAGGGAAAATTGAAATCCCTGATATTATTTGAACAGTCTGTGGACTTGTCCTTTTTATCTTGCCTCGGTTACATCCCAGGATTGATGGGGACTGCAGAGTTGCAGCACAGAACTGGGCAGCATTTTGTTGAATGTAATACTCAGTAACTACACTTCCCTCCTCCCTTGTATGTCTTTGATTATCATTCAAGGTATTAAAATGGTCCCACCAAGCTCTAGTATTCTGGGAAAGGATATCACATTTGACTCAATTTGTTACACACGGAACACAGCTGGATCACATGCCTTTTTGTGTTATTTTCTGCAGTTTAATCTTTAAGTGGTTGACCTGTTCCAATTGTTATGTGCTCTGTGAGGTTGTATGTTATATTGTAATTTAAAATCAGATGTTAGATCCTATTGGAATCCAGTGTGGGTGGTAAAACTCTTTAAAGATAGCAATAAATACACCATGTTCTTCACCAGGATATGTTGATGTCACCATTCTTATTAGCTTAAGAGTTACCTCCTGGAGGCTTTATTTTGATGCGAGGTGATTGCATGAGGGCTAAATACCCAGACACCCCTTGGATGATCTGGATGGGGTCATGTGGGGGCTGAGGGTTGTCTGGATGTTTATAGAGATATTCCTTTTGATTCTCAGTGCCATCATGCTGGATGAAGCCCATGAGAGGACCTTGTATACAGACATTGCCATTGGCTTGCTGAAAAAGGTATGACTTTGCTGCCAGACTTCTGTTTTATGTTTTTGTTTTGTTGCCTGATTAGGAAAATAATTGTAGCAATTTGGAAAATCCAACCAAATATGAAGGAAAAAACCTTTAAATCATCATCCATAATCCTAGTCCTACCCGTTCAGAGAAAAATCACTGGTGGAATGTTGGTATGTTTTCTTTTCTTTTTTCTGTTTGTGTGTGTGTATACATGCATCTGTTTTGGCGTAGTAGGGAATGGCTTGTATATGCTAATTTGTATCTTGTGTATTTCTCTTAACATTACATCAAGATCATTACATCATAATGTCATTAGTATTCTTTGAAGATGTTATTGTTGATGGCTGTTTAATCATGTCTCTACCATAAAGTATTTGATTTTTCCCTTACTGTTAGGCACTTATATGCTTCCAGATTTGAAGTATTTTAAATAATGTCGCAGTGAGCACTGCTGTAATAAATCTGTTTCATTCCTTTTCTGTTTTTTAATTTTTTACTATAGAAAGTGTCAAACATACCCCAGAGTAAAGAGAAGGTTTAATGACCCCCACGGGCTCATCATCTGGCTTCAATAATTAAACTTGTGGACAATCTTGTTTCAACCTTACCACCATCTCTCCCAACTTCCTAATTGTTTTTCTTGTATTTTCTGATTGTTTTCTTTGGATAAATTCCCAGTTACAGGAGTCTAGAAAGAGGTGGTGGAGCAGAGAGATTAAGATAATTGATTCGGGGTCAGATGGCCCAGGTTCAAATTCTGACAGCTGAGTTTACTCATCTCTAACATAAGGATAACAGAAGGGTCTGTATGTGTGCTGGCGCACTTTTCTATATGGTAGCCACTAACCGCCTTGGATTTAAATTGGCCAAAGTAGAATAAAATAAAAAATTCAGTACCTCAGTCACACTGGCTCTATTTCAAGGGCTCTGCAGGCACATGTGCCGAGTGGCTACTGCATGGGACAGAAGCTCTCCTTCCTGAAGAGTCCTTTCGCACAGAGCTGCTCTGTATCATGATTTGTTGTGGGGCTTAAGTAGACAGCGTAAAATTCTTAGGAGGGCACCTGGCACAGGGTCACAAATAGACTATGAGGTACCTTTGTGCAAATTAGAAGAAGATGCCCCCACTAGGAGGATGTTCCCAGCTAGGTGAGGGGAGGGTGGGCTGGATTTCAGATGCCCCAGCCTCCTTAGACAGGCATCTTTGTACAGTGGATATACTATACAGCTGTACTCGGGGATCCTGGAATGGTATGGAACTTAGTATTTGTTAGCTGCTATTGTTATTTTGATTATTATCTTATTCCTTGGCCAAAGCTATAAACTTTTTGATATTTATGAGGACTTATCCTATATTACCTTCTTAGGAACAGTATAATAAGAGAGCTTATTTTACTGAATCTTTGCCAACACTAAACATTAACTTGAAAAAGTAGATCCTTGCCAATGTGATAGTTGAAAAAATAATCTCACTGTCATTATATATATTTGCTATAGTTTATTTGACCATTTCTCTTATGCCTGTTGATCATCTGTTTCTTCTGATAACTGTTAATGTCTTTTATCCATATTTCTGTCTTGGTGCTATCATTTAGTATTTGTTTGCTTTTAAAGCACTTCTTTTTTTCTTTATTGATTTTAGAGAGAGAAGAAAGGAGAGGGAGAGAGAGATAGAAACATCGATTGGCTACCTCCTGCATGCTCCTCACTGGGGATTTGGCCCACAGCCTGGGCATGTGCCCTGACTGGGAATCGAACTGGCGACCTCTTGGTGCATGGGTCGATGCTCAACCACTGAGCCACACCGGCCAGGCTAAATAAAGTACTTTTTTGTATTTTGTATATAGGGTGAGGCAAAAGTAGATTTACATTTGTGAGTATTTGAAACACAGAGTTTATTCTTATATTATTATTTATTAATTATTGTATTATTTGCCATACGAACGACTATAAACCTACCTTTGCCCCACCCTGTATACGTAGATTCTGACTATCCAGAGACAGGTGTCAGGAAAAATGGTTTTACTTTTAGTAAATTCAAATTCAGGTCTTAAAGCTCCTTTATATTTTGTATAAAATATTTTTAACTCTTTATTTTGGAAAATTTTATACATTTATACAGTTGGAAAGAATAGAACGATTAACCCCTATTTTGACCTATGATTTTAATAATTATCAACTTGTGGTCGGTCTTGTTTCATCTATAATATCCTCCTCACCCCAAAAATACACATACTAAATTATTTTAGATATCAAATTTTGTCCATAAATTTTACAGTGACTGTTTCATGATGCCTTCTTTTTTAGATTCAGAAAAAGCGAGGGGATCTTCGATTGATTGTGGCGTCAGCCACTCTGGATGCAGAGGTAAGAACATTGCCCCTCTCTCCCTTGCCCCCCAGAAACACTGAAATTGCTGGCCATGTCTGTGGGAAGTTACCTCTAGCAAGAGCTTATCTTTGGCGGAATGGCCTACCTTCTTTATGGGGCATCTGATGACCCAGATTCCATAGGATCGGAGCATACTCCTTTTTAGCCTGTGGGTGGAAATTAACCTGTAATTAATTGAGTTCATAATACCTACTTGTCTAGTTTCTCTACATACTGTGTGTCTACTCTCACAGGCACCTTCTTTTTATTACTTTTTTTTTTAGTACGAGGCTGTATTTCTTGCATTTATTTATGGCTATAGCATTTATATTTAGAATTTTTGTACAATTGAAGTTTTCCCGTACATAGAATAATTTCCGTGTTATATTTTTTATGGCTAAGTTTATATTATTCTCTCTTAGCTAATATTTTAGTTCAAATAGCAGTTCAGCTCAACAGGTAATTCTCACCATTTGTCATATGTATATATAAAATAAATAGGTGTTTACAGTTCATTATGTTCAAGGTGCCGGGACAGCCCGGGAGGGAGTTCCTAACTCCGCTGGCTTCAGGTGTCCAGAAGCTTTCCCAGAGGAGCTACATCCCAGTTGGGTTTGAACGATGCGCAGAAGTTTGTCATGTGGTCAGGGTGGGGAGGGCATCCTGAGCAGCCATGTGTGCATGGGCTGGGGTCAGTGTAAAGCGGGAGTGTTGCCTGTAGGGCCTGGCACCGGGTGATCTGCCTCGGACTTACACTCTCTCCAGTTTCTCTGCACTTTAGCCCACCGGTCCCCTTGCTGTTTCTCCGAAAAACACAAGCATGCTCTGCTCTGGGAGGGACCCTCTTTCTAGACTCTTCTTCCCTCAGATGTTCTCATGGCTCCACCCTCATTTCATTCCAGTCTTGATCAGGTATTATCCTCTTAGAGAGGCCTTTCCTGACCACTCTGTCTAGAGTAGTGCTACTGTTGCTGTCCATCTTCTTACTCTGCTGCTTTTTTCTGTTTAGCACTTATCACTACCTAACATTATGTGTATGTCCAAGTGTTTGTTTATCGTGTGTCTCCCATCATGAAAAGTAAGCTCCCTGGAGGTTGGAACTTTGTCTTCAGTAGTGTCTGGCATAACGTAGGTGCTGCAGGTTGAATGGGAGGCAATGGGAGATTAAAATGGAAAGGTTGGGGGGTGGGGGGGGCATAAACCAAAGAACTTCTATGCATATACGCATAACCAGTGGACACAGACAGTAGAGTGGTGAAGATGGGGGAGTGGGGAAGAGGGTGTTAATAGGGGAAAAAAAGGAGGAACATCTGTAATACTTGCTACAATAAAGAAAAAATAGTTTCAACATAAAAAAATAAAATAAAGTCAGGTCTTTCAAAATTAACTCCAAAGTGGTGTTCAGCTCCTCTTTCCCCATTCCCTGTCTTCTTCCCCGACCAGGTGCGTTACCTTTGCCTTTCCCGCTCCTAAGCCCCAAGGGCCCTTCTGCTTCTGCAGTTTGTTTCCTGAGCCACACAGCCCAGCTGGCTCACTTCTGTCACCTCTGTAACCTTCTAAATACATTTTCTCTTATAATTTGAAGAAACAAAACAAAACAACTCAGTTGTCATAAATCCCCTCCTTGGGAGCAACTCTAAACCTCCTTGGAGATCGGGTCATCACGACACTGAAAATCAACTCTTGTATCCCCCATCTGTTCTAAGTGCCCATTCTCCCCTCTCCTGAGCAGGCATTTGTTTCCCACAGGTGCCCTTCTCCCCTTCCCCCCACGAAGGTAGTAACAAGCCCCTTTGAGTCATATCTCTTTTATGAACTCCTATACATACATGACTAAAATCTATTTTTTCTCTTGTTAATCTCTCTATTTGAATTTAATTTGCACACCCCAAGTACTGAACTAAGATAGCAGGACACATAACTCATTAAAAAAAAAAAAAAAAAAAGGAAGGGTTGGAAGGGGTCAGATGCTGGAGGGCCTTATAAGTCAACCAAAGGAGGAAGAACTCCATTTAACACCTGGGCAGAAGCCCTGGGAGGGTGTGAATATGTGACTTGATTATATTTGGGTTCTAGAAAGATCACTTTGGTGCTGTGTGGAAGAGATAAGAGAGATGTGGAAATAGCAGTCTATAGGCCAGTTTATAATCCAGCTGAGACATGGAAAGGGCCTGGCTTCTGGCTGCTGGTGTCTCTCTGGGTTCAGGATCCAAACAGCTTGGAGAGAGAAAAAACTCAGCATAGCTGAGAGAGGTGTCTGCATGTGTGCCCAGAACGTGTGTGGACCTTCTCACAGGCTGTTGTCTCATGACGACTTCTGGGTCAAAGCTCCTTGGTTGCCCTCTTTAATGAATTCTCATGACCTTCACCCACGATACCTGTTGGAATGCTATTCTGAGGACCATACCTGACTCTCCTTTCGTTACCTCCTCCATGGATAAGTTGCACAAAACATCTATTTTATGTCTTACCTTCGTTACCTCCCCTTTTTAATAAGCATTCCCAGCAGTTTTTATTGTTTGAAAACTAACATCCAAGACTTTTCTTAGAATAACCGTTAAATAATATTTATTGCTCATAATTGCCTTTCATAGTCTTTTGGAGTGATAGATTTTTAAAATGGCTCTTTTCAGTTCTTCCTACAGTAGTTTATGTAGATGGACTTTCTGAAAGTAATTTGTTTAAGTGGGAAAGTGGAGTGAGTGTAGGAGATTTGCCATGCCCTGGGCATGCTGTGATGTGGGCATGCTGGGACCCCAGCATTGTTCTGCTGGGCCTTTAATGGGCTAGGGCCATACACCCCTCCTCTTCCTCACTCAGTGTTGCGAGGAAGGTGAAGTCTGTGTGTGAGAGAGGAGGACCTGGGGGGAGAGTCAGTTCTGTGGGAGTGAGGGTGTGGGTGGGTGAGTGGGTGCATGTGGGGCCTGGTTTATGAACTCCCATGTGAGAGAGAGTGAGGAGGAGGAATGGAGCGAGCTAAGGAGGGCGAGGGAGAAAGAGTAGGAGTGGGCGTGGGAACAGGGAAGGGTGGGGCTCAGGTAGCATTTAACTGAGAGGTCCAGGGGTGCCAGAACTCATCCTTGGTCCCCTAGCTACTGGATCTGTGGTTGACATGAATTCCAAGCCCCACTGTCTGGAGGGATAGATGATGCCACCTGCTCTGGCTTTGCTCAGGGCCCCAGGTGGCTCCGCAAGCAGGTGAAGAAAACACAGTGACAGCGGCTGGGAGGCAGAGGCAAGCAGAGTGTGATGGCTTGTCACATAGTTGCCTTGATTGATTTAGCTGCTTTGTTAGCAGCCTAATTAAGCAAGCAATTACAGAAAACATGACCAGGTATAATTACGAAGTATTTATTGACCATTGTATCACATGTTATTGTTTTTCTTTTATTTGCGTCTATGCACGTGGCAGAAAATAGGATTGCTGACAACTCCCACAGTTCTTTGTCACAAGTCCAAATACTTGGGAAGAAGCTAGTTTCCCTTTCCAGATTCCTGGATTGGGTCAGCTGGGGTCAGATACCCACATGGGACCAATCTGCGTGGGTCAAGACCTGTTAGCCTGGGGTGGACTTGTGTGGACATGGCTGCTGGAAGCCCACTCCTGTGCATTAGGGAAGACAGCCTGGCAGGTGTCCACATCATTTACGTCCATCTCATAGGCTCTCCTTCCTTCATGCCATGTTATGTTTCTTACCATGTGTCCGTGTCAGTGTGACCCCACCTCTTTTGATCCTGACTCAAATTCTCTCCTTTTCCAAGTCCATTGAACCCATTTCACTCTTCCTGTTTCTTCATTCAGCCTCAAAACGTGTAACTCTGTTTATTTGCTTTTATCCTATAATTTTGTGTGTGTATTTTATATTTCCAAGTAAAGATAAAAGACCAGGATCTTAAGGATTAAGATGTAGTGCCTTCTCAGTTAATGCTGAATTTTATTTCTTGAAAGAGTAACTTCCCATCTTTACTCTTCAATACACATATTCCTGAGCAGCTAGGGGTTAGCCGTCCACTCCAACAACATTAAGGTATCAGCTTCCTCCCTGTTCTGCTTGCCTTTTTGGTCCAAAAAGCCTGTTTGTCAAGCCCTTTCTAAAATCTTCCTCCACCGGCAGCTTCTGGAGCCCCCAGTGAGGTCTCCCCTTTCTCCTGCCTTCCTGATGGCTTCCCCCAGGCTGCTTTGCTGGCTGCCCTTCCTCCTTCAGGCCGCCCACCTCCTTTGTGCTTGATTTGAGGTGAACTTGACTGTGCTCTTGTGCTGCAGCCTGAGCTGCCAGACCACCAAAACTCAGACCTGTGTCTCCTACCAGCCTGGGACGCTCGGCTTCTCGGTGGCAGTCCCTTTCTCGTTGTCGTAATCATCCAGGCTCAGGACATCCATTGCTTGGGGACCTGATTGAGTAAGAAGTAATTCCATCCTCCCCAGCTTGCCTGGGCGTTTGCTCATGCTCCCTGATTGCCGGGTCCCATCAGTCATAACCTCCGGAATGCTTTGCTTTCACACCGCCCTGCCCGAGTTCACGCTTTCATCCCTCCTGGGAGCTGTTGCAGTGCCTCCCTTAATTAGTCTGTTATCACACCTGCCTTTCTCCAAAGTGACCACCAGAGTCAGGCATCCAGAGTACAGGTCTGATAATGTGCCCATCCTCACTGCCTTTGTCTTGCCCATCTAATAAGGTGTCTGTGCAGCATGACGTTTGGGCCCCTTTCAAGTGATAACACAGTCACTTACTGTGTACTCATTATAAGTCACACTTTATTTGAACCATACAACAGGCTTGCAGGGTAGATAGCAGTTTGTTCATTTTGTAGGCAAGAGAGCTAACTCAGAGCCGAGGCTGGCCTGCCCTACACCTTGGATTCTGTCCTCTGTCAGGGGCCCCTTTACAGTGTAGTTTGTACTCTGCTCTCATCCTGGGAATGGGTGTCTCTGCTCCTTCCTGGCCATCTCTTAAGGCTTAACCAAGGGAGAATGCCACCTCATGCTGCCTTCCCTAGGAGTCTCATCCTGGGAAGGGGTGTCTCTGCTCCTTCCTGGCCATCTCTTAAGGCTTAACCAAGGGAGAATGCCACCTCATGCTGCCTTCTCTAGGAGTCTCATCCTGGGAAGGGGTGTCTCTGCTCCTTCCTGGCCACCTCTTAAGGCTTAACCAAGGGAGAATGCCACCTCATGCTGCCTTCCCTAGGAGTCTCATCCTGGGAAGGGGTGTCTCTGCTCCTTCCTGGCCATCTCTTAAGGCTTAACCAAGGGAGAATGCCACCTCAGCCTGGCCATCTCTTAAGGCTTAACCAAGGGAGAATGCCACCTCATGCTGCCTTCCCTGAGAGCCAGTCGTTGACCTTTCATTCTCTCCAGTTGTAACTTGCAGCTCTTTTCTGGTCATTTAGTTAGTCTGCCTCGGTTTGTGTTATTGGTTCTTTGCACACCCACCCTCCTGGATTATTCACTTGGGGCATCGGGGGTGTCTCTTCTCACTTGTTTGTGGGTCCCTTCCAGTGTGCCTGTGCACTGTACGTCACAGGAAGGCTGAAGTTACTCAAAGGGGATTTTCCCTAAAGAAAGTGAAGAATGGTGCCACATGGATCTTCACAGCACAGTGTGGTTCTTTTGTTGGCACAAGGCGCATGTATGTCTGCGCTGAGTCTTCTCAAACACAACTTTGAGGTTAATGTGCAGTGTCCCAGATTTTGTAGTTAAATCCAGTTGACCTTTTTTGAAATTTATCTTTATTGTTGAAAGTATTACAGATGTCTCCCCTTTTTCCCCCCACTGACCCCCTCCTTCCTGTTCCTGCCCCCCTCCTGCCTTCCCCACACTATTGTCTGTGTCCATTGGTTATGCATTGAAGTTCTTTGGTTTATCTCTTCCTGGCCCTCCCTTCCTGGCTCTTCCCTCTGAGGTTCATCAGTCTTACAACCAATTTTTTAAATCTTCACCTGAGGATATTTTTTCTATTTATCATCAGATAGAGTGGAAGGGAGGGAGAGAGAAACATCAACATGAGAGAAACACATCGACTGGTTGTCTCCCACATGGGGGATGAACCGCAACCGAGGTGTGTGCCCCTGACTGGAATGCGAGGGCTGTTGCTCTAACCGCTGTGCCATACTGGCCGGGGCCCAATTTGTACTTCTTAATCCCTTCACCTTTTTGCCCATGCCCCACTCCCCATCCCATCTGACAACCAATAAAAAGTTCTCTGTATCTATGAGTCTGTTTCTGTTCTGCTTGTTTTGGTTTTAGATTCAGTTGTTAATAGATTGTGTTTATTGCCATTTTACTGTTCATATTTTTTTATCTTCTTCAAGAAGACCTGTCAGCATTTCACATAATACTGGTTTGGTGGTGATGAACTCCTTTAGCTTTTTTTTGTCTGGGAAACTTTATATGTGCATCGATTCTAAATGACAGCTTTGTAGGATAGAGTAATCTTGGTTTTAGATCCTTGCTTTTCATCACTCTGAATATTTCTTGCCACTCCCTTCTGGCCTGCAAAGTTTCTTTTGAGAAACCAGCTGACAGCCTTATGGGAGTTCCCTTGTTGGTAACTAACTGCTTTTCTCTTGCTGCTTTTAAGATTCTCTCTTAGTCTTTAACTTTTTGCATTTTAAGTATGACCTGTCTTGGTTCCAGTTGACTCTTTTAGAAGCACTCTTCCAAGCCCATTTATTTTGTATTTGGTGCAGTTCCTCAGTGCACCCCTGGGATGCCAGATTCCAGAACCAGGCATGGGCATGCTGAGTAAAGACACCTGGGGGAAGTGAAAAAGACTGGTCTTGTGATCATATTGTTAGGTCTCCTAGGAGGATAAAGTCTCATGCCCATCCAGGCCTCACTCATGCCCAGCCACACCGCAGGGGAACTGGAATATAGTTGGGAACAGGAAGGGTAATTAAGAATTGGATATTGACACACTCCACCAGTGGGGTGTCTATGGCCTCTTGGCTATTGGCACAACAGCTTCCCATCCAGCACTCACTCTCCAGTAGGTTTGGTCACTCAGCTCTTCTCGGGCTCAGCTTCTTTGTGTGTCTTGGGTCGCATTCCCTGAGAGGGGATCTTGAGTCGTGTCTCCCTGCCCCGTTGTTGGCCAGAACTCTCTTTCCAGGCCTCCCTGTAGACTGCCAGTCTGGGGATCAAGTGCTATTGAAGAGGATGTGGCCACCTATTTGGGAGGAACTGCCAAGAGCCAATTCTCTTAAGGGGATGCTGTGGGAGTGTCGGAGAAGTATCTAATTGGTGACCTACCCCATGCAAAGTGTCGCGTGAACTCCAGTAGGGCAGATAACATGGAGAAGACACTGTCCCTACCATGAAATAGCTAAAATCTACTGGGAAGGTTATAGTAAATACATCTCTGTAACTGTGGTACCAGAAACTCCTGCTGTTCATAGAAGTACAAGTTTCCTTTATAAATTGATAACCTTGTGTGATCAGATCTTTGCTTTCCAGATTAGAATTATATACATCATCCTGCTTTAGCCTGTATTTTACTTGAATCATACCGTTTGAACTAAACTTTGATTAAATAAAATACAGGGGATAGGATAAGATAAATAAAACCACAACTACAATTTAACTCAGATATTTCAGTGAATACAGTTTTGAAATTTAATTATTATTATTTTGATCAAACCTTAGTAAAGAGTCTGTCATTGAAATGTGATTCCTCAAAATTGCAATAATAAAAATGAGATTTTTAGTAACTGTTTTGCAATCCATAGTCTGTATTATATGTATCCAATTCCTGTTGCCCACTCTGTGCTTTGCATTATTTTTTTGTATTATGTTTTTTCCATGAGTTACTATTTTGAGCGGAATGAAGAATTTATTTTTTATTTTATTTTTAGAAATTTTGGGATTTCTTTAATCAAAATGAAACCAGTGACCCAACCCGCGATACATGTGTGATCCTTACAGTGGAAGGGCGAACATTTCCAGTGGATATATTTTATCTACAAAGGTTTGATGATACTTGCATTTTTAATGATGGTGATGGTGATTGGAAAGCTAGGCCTGTGTTGTAGAATGAGAAGCAAGTGTGTGTCTTCCCAGGGTGATGTGCCAGGCCGGTGAAGAGGGGCACAGACTCTGTGTCTTCTGTCATTGATAGGATGTTCTGGAGCCCTGCTCAGTATCACTGCTGAGTGTGGTTTAAATTCTTTTTTTTTTTTTTTTATCCTCACCCGAGGATATTTTTCCATTTTTTGTACAGATAGAGTGGGAGGGAGAGAGAGGAAGGGAGGGAGAGAGAGAAACATCGACGTGAAGGGACACATCGAGTGGCTGCCACCCGCACGACCAACCAGGGCCGGGGACAAACTGCAACCGAAGTACGTGCCCTTAGCGGGAACCGAACCGGGGTCTCTCCGGACCGCAGGCCGACGCTTTAACCGCTGAGCCAAACTGGCCAGGGCTGGTTTAAATTCTTGACACTGATATTCATGTTTCTATAAATCTGTGGTCAGTAGCTCAGTAGGAAAGAGCAAAGTGGCAACAAGGTTGTGGGAAGGATGGCTTGATAATTTTCAGAACTGGGGTTTACAAGACTGCCTTTGGTGGGGGCGGTATTGGCAATATGAATTATTTGGTTCTCGGCTCTCTACATCCTAGCAAGAAAGCCTGGTTGACATTTTTGGGAGGAGCCCCCTTGGGGAGGAAGGGAGTCATTCTAATTTCTACACCGAGTCACTGGACAGATAGTGGCTGAAAGTCCAGAGAGTTGTGGGCTTGACTTCTGAGTCCTTGTGGTTGGACAGCACATCCATCAGCTCTGTCCATCCCCCTCAGACACGCTGCCAGTGGTCAGGAAGGAAAATGGAAAGAGTGTGGGGTTTAGCACTGGAAACACCTCCCTGTTTTCACTGGCTGACATCTTTGCATGCTAATGATAGCACGTCGATTTGCATGGGTTTATTGTTTTTATTTCTTTGTGAATAAAGCAAAAAAATCATAGTTGACATGTAATTATGAAATATTATCATTTTTTAAAATTATTTTAGGTAGAATGGAAGGGAGGGAGGGGGAGAGAGAGAAACATCGATTTGAGAGAGACACGTTGCACCACCCTGACTAGAGCTGGGGATTGAACCTGCAACCTAGGTATGTGCCCTTGACTGGAATCAAACCCATGACCCTTTGGTCCGTGGGCTGATGCTCTAACCACTGAGAAAACCAGCCAGGGCAATGAATTATTTTCAGATGTTGCATTTAAAAAAAGAAAAAAATGAATACTTACTTTGTTTATTCATATACTGATTATTGCTGGACAGGCCTAAACTAACTTTTATGAGCTTCTGCTGCCAGATTTCCCTGGTAATGGGTCTGTAACTAGTGTGTGTATTCTAGTGATGACTTTATCTCATGTATCTTTTCAGTCCTGTTCCAGATTATATCAAATCAACTGTAGAAACTGTGATGAAAATTCACCAGACAGAAGGAGATGGAGACATATTAGCATTTCTTACTGGCCAGGTAATTCCATTGGACCTTTTTCTATAATGAACAGACATGTAAAGGTAGCACCAAAATTAATACAGAGGCCTGTTACTTTGCTTAGCCATTTGTTTCAGTTTTATTGTATTCTGTGGTTACTTAATTGCAAAAAAAATTATTTGGTTTGGTATCATTCATCTATTGACTACATTGTCAAAAAGTCATTGGCTCTAACCTGTTCTGTCTGCAAAGGGTCAGATGTATTTGAAATTTATTAGCTGATTCCAAAGGATATTACACACTTAATTCAATAAACTGTTCTATTTACTACAATTGAATATTGCATTTTTGTGTATGCATGTTACTGCTGCATGCTTCTTTCCCAGTGACCCTTTCCAGTTTATCCTGGGGACACTGAGTGGGCACTTCACTGGAAAGACAACTGAACAAGCCCAAGTGCTCACTCAGGGTTGCAACACTGTTCAGAATTACCCTCTAGCTAGAATCGTTTCCGCTGTTGAGCATTTTCCACAATTCAGTAGTCTTTTCTTGGAAATGGGTGTAGTGATTTTATCTGTCACAACTTGTTCATATGTATGCAGTGCTTTGTTTGTCACAATACGTAAACGTTAATTAGTCCTTTTTTTTGTTTATTAGGAGCTCTTTTATTTTCTACAGATGGTGTAGATTTCTGTAATTAACCTGACAGTTGAACATGTTCACCCCGCAGACACCATTGTTGGGGTAGCATTTGATTAAATGCCACCCCAGAGTGAAATGTGATCATACTGGAAGACATGAATCTGACCACAGTTAAAATCCTGATCCCAGCTTTCATATGAAAAAGTGACATGCTTCAACTTCAAATTAATCTTGGTTTCTTTGGTTCCTGGTTCGATGTTTTTAGGAGGAGGTAGAAACTGTCGTGTCCATGCTGATCGAGCAGGCTCGAGCACTAGGTCGGACTGGGATGAAGAGACACCTTCGGGTTCTCCCCATGTACGCAGGACTGCCTTCCTTTGAGCAAATGAAAGTGTTTGAAAGGGTGTCACGCAGTGTCCGAAAGGTGAGACTAACCCGATGACCAAGGGTGTTTGCTGACATCTAGAATCATTTTGGTGCCCCTTTGCTGAGCACTGTAAAGATTTTCTGTTTTAAGCTGAAGTGAAACTTGCTGTACAGGCAGGTTCCTTTAAGAATTTTAGGTCTGTGTTTCTGTGCAGTAGATCTGTAAGCACACAATAATGTGCTGCAAAGATTTCAGAACCTGCTCCAGAGAATGGCCACTCTGACAGTAATCATCAGAGCAGGTGATTTATCCTGGCCTCTTTCCTGCCTGCCTAATATTTCCCCGTGACACTCTTGGCTTAAAGGATCGTGTTGGTGGATTGTGATCAGTCGGGAACAGTAGATCTATTACTGCAAGTGGTTCCTAAGCCATTTGTTTGAAGCATCACTTTGCCTGTAGAGCCAAGTTTAAGTTAATTAATTCAAGGTGTGGCTTAAAAATATCTAGCATTGAAATTGGGGTGGGGAAGGGTGTGGTGGGAAGCACTGGTTTGAGAGAGCCGGCAGGTAGCCAGTCTGCTTCTCGCTCATCGTTCCCCTGGGCCTTACTCCGCTCTCCCTTCCCTGGGATGGGGAAGGCCCAGAACTGGCCTGAAGTTGGCTGCTGGTAGCTGTGTATCAGCAGGCAGTAGAGAATACAGTATTTGAGGGGTGGTCTGACGATCTGCTCCCAGTTCAGACCACTTGGAAGAGAGAGCTCAGCCTCCTGGCCACTGAGATGGAGCAGCTTGAGTCTGCCCAGTGACCTATGGCCAACCAGTCAGAAGGCCTTGGTTCTGTGCCTGAGTTACTCTGTGCTCTGGGATGAATTACTCAACTGCAAGTCCAGGTTTTCTCAGCTGTAAAACATAAATAATGACTTTTAGAAAGATGATTTTATAGCATAAAAACATATGTACTATATAAAAATGGTAGGAAGATTTTTATGAAATGATAGATGTAAAAATGCCTTAAAAACGTTCTAAGTGCTATCTGTGCACATCCCCTGCTGCTTCAGATCCTCCAGGGGCAGCTCTAGTGCACTTGGAATGAAATGCAAACAGTTCATGGTGGCCCAGAGACTGTGCATGATCTTGTACTTACTCTGGACTCTGGTGCACTGGCTCTTTCTCCTTTCTCCCGGCTGTTTCTTCTGCCTGGATCTCCATAGGGTTGGCTACTTCTTGTAACTCAGGTCTCAGCTCAAAATCCTTTTAGAGAGGCTGTTTCTGACCATCCAGTCTAAAATAGTATACCCCATTATTGTAATACATAGTAAACACCTTAAATACTATGCAACTTTACAGTCTTACTCTGTTGTATTTTCTTCATAGTATTTGTCACTCTCTGCAATTATTGTTTATGTTCATTACTTCTTCACCCACACACTCACACTTGACAGAGAAGCACAGGGTTCTTCTCTCTCTTGTTCATCAAACATCCCCAGCACCTTGCACAGTGCCTGGCACAGCACAACCTCAGAAAATAGCTAGACTGTGAGTGAATACCTGAATATACCTGCGCACGGTGGTGATTTACCTTAGTTATGCAAAAGGCAATAACTAGCATTTGTTGAATATTTAATATGGGCCCAGTACCAGGCTCTAATCACTTTATGTATATTTCCTATTTAATCCCCTCCACAACCCTGAGAGAGGGGTAAATACTATGTTAATAAGGAACCATGCTCAGGAGGTTAATTAACTTGTCCAACGTCACATGCTCTGGGATACTTCAAACCCAGGGCACCCTGACCCTAAAACTCATGCTCTTTCTAGTATACCAAACTACCTCCTGAAGATTTTGCAATGTCAGAAATATCTTTAAATCTTTTAGGATTTTGAATAGTTGATTAAAAGTGAAAAGAACCAAATAACTTTTGTTTCTACTCTTCATTCTGTGGGGAATTTAGGTGATAGTGGCTACCAATGTGGCAGAAACCTCCATTACAATCAGCGGGATTGTCTATGTGATCGACTGTGGCTTCGTGAAACTCCGAGCCTATAATCCCAGGACAGCTATCGAGTGCTTGGTGGTGGTCCCAGTGTCCCAGGCGTCAGCCAACCAGCGAGCTGGGCGTGGTGGCCGCAGCCGCTCGGGAAAATGTTATCGCCTTTATACAGGTTAGTGTGGCTTTCTTTAAGGGTGTTGATTTTCTCCGTCGTCCAGGGCATTGGAGAGTATTATGTTTACCCTCCATGGGCAGGACTTCACGTAAAATCCAGACCTCCCTCACACGTCCCTCTGTAACCTGGCACCCTCACCTTCCTCACTCTAAACATAGCACTTCTTTGCTACTGTTCCCTATTGGCCAAAGCTGGCCTTTGTGTTACCAATGTCTTGCCATCCCTGTTCTACCTAATGTTTGGGCTTAGACCTGTTTTTTGCCATGTGACCCTGTAGCTTAGGCCATGTGTCTCAGGTTCTGTCTTTTTTACTTTTCCCTTAACTTAATGTGCTGTTTTCTTGTTCTGGGATCCCTGCATCCTGTGGGGCCCCACAATGGGTTCCATCTTTACCTCTGGTCAGAGCATCTTTGCAGAGCTAAAATGGCAAGATCTATCCTGAGACTCAATGATAGAAAGCAAACAGTTGGTCAGGTCCTGTTCTGTGCTGTGCACCATGCTAGGCTCTGAAGGAGCAAAATAAATACCATCAAGACTGTTCTGGCCCTTAAGGAGCCTTCTCTGCAGCTTGAAGACAGCCTTCCCTACAGACAGTGATGTCCAAGAGCTGTCTCTCTCTCTGCACTTGACTTGTTGACATGTTGATGGTTGTCCGGACTTCATTTCCACATCATGTTTAATTCCCTCCTCAGTCCAGTATCCATCTACAGTCACTTACCAGACCTGGGGATTTTATCATTTATTTCTTCTTTCCTTTCTGGTTACCATTGCCTGTGTTCAGTCCTTGACATCGTTCTTTCTTTTAGTAAATGTTTGCAGAGCCAGGCGCGGTGCCCGGGTTTGGAGATCTAGGGCTAGGTGGTCTGTGGCCACGTGTGGTCGCTGACAGCCTGTTGATGGAGGCAGACCCACAGACAAACAGATTGGCATGTTGTGGTGTGGTAGGGTTGCCATCAAGGAATGAGCCTTGGCAGCGGAGGGCAGGGAGTTACCCTGTTGGGGAGGACTTCGCAGTCGAGTATTTGGGCCTGATCTTATTGGCAGCCCAGTAATCCCGGTGAGGGGATAGCGGTGGAGATCAGATTTCAGCACACCAGGCAGAGGGAGTGGAACGCACAGGTACGCGGGGAAGGGTGGGGGGCGGAATTCAGGGGACAGAGGGAAGGACAGAGCCCGAGATGAGATGTAGGGTCTTCCGCACTGAAGGTGCTCAGAAGGAACGATTAGAGTGGCAAGAGGAGCGCCAAGGTAGTCGAGGCATCCAGAAAGCCAGGGCAGGAGAGTTTCAAGCTACTTAAACAAATCTTTTTGAGGTGAAATTTACATAACTTAAAATTGAACTGTTCAGTGGCATTTATTACATTCACCTCTGTCTAGTTTCAAAACATTTCCCTCCCTTCAAAGTAAAACCCCTTGCTCATTAGGTAGTTTCTCTCCATTCCTCCCTGCCTCCCTCCCTGCTCCCAACACAATCTTTGTTCTGCCTCTGGATTTATCTGTTGGATATTTTACATAAATGGGATCATACAATATGTGACCTTTTGTGTCTAGCTTTTTTCATTGAGCATAATCAATATTAAATGTTTTCCAGGTTGATCTATGTTTTATCAGTACTTTATTCTTTTCTATAGCTGAATAACATTCCACCGTGTAGATACACCACAGTTACACCACATTTTGCTTATTCATTCATCAGCTGATGGTTGTTTCCCCCTTTTGGTTATTGTGAATAATTGCTCCTATGAACATGTGTACACGTACTTGTTTGAGTACGTGTTTTTAGTTCTTTTGGGTGTATACCTAGGAGTAGAATTGTGGGGTCATGTGGTAATTCTGTCTTCACTTTTTGAGGAAATTAAAGTTATTTTTAAAGAGGAAATTTCTTTGGAACATCATCTCATGCTCCAAAGAAATCAAATAGTATGCAGACTAAAGGTAGGCAGGTCTATCTGGCTTCCTTAGCAGGAGCAGTCTTAGTGGAGGTGGGGTTGGGGAGGGACCACCAACAGTAATAGGGTACATTAGGTCCAGCCTCTAGGATCTAATGCAGCCTCTAGGATCCAGCCTCTAGATCTTGGCTAACCTCTAGAAACTTCCAGAGAGCGCAGCTCTGAGCTGGTGCTACCTGCTTAAACCCTTAAGAGTTTCTCCGAAACTCCCATGACTTTTTCTCTGCTTATCTTCTCCCGCAGTCCACCTATTGCTCCCCTCTGCTGCAGCACAGCTGAACTACACTCTTCCTGGGCATGCCTTCTGTTTTCCCACACCCACCTCTCGTTCCTTTGATACCTTTCCTGGAGCTGTTTCCTCTGCCCAACGTATTCTCTATCCTTCGAGTCCTTTTTCAAATGGCACCTCCCTCATGAAGCAACCTCAGGTGTTTTCTTCCAGTGGCTAAGCTTCTTCCTTCCCTGAGTTTCCCTTTCCCTTTGGGAGGACCGCTCACTGGGACCTGGTCTCAGAGATCATCTGTCCTAGGCCCCTTCGTATCACTGAAGCTTCTCAAAGCCATTGACCTGCAGCTCCCAGTGCTTCATACACTCAAGTCCTCGGTGGAGTTTGAGTGTCACTGAACTCTTACGAAGCACTTAGCTCCTGTGAGTTCTTCTCAGAAGTGGGGCTGTCCCCTTATCTGACAGCTTTGCTTCTCCCTCGGTCAGCAGTGTACTTGGAAAATGTGGTTATCCTACCAAAAATCCATTCCCCAAGTGTTCGTAAACTCAAAGGCAGTGTCCCCTTTGGAACAAACTTCCTGCCGTTGTCTGTTACCAGGGGCTCCCAGTTAGCCCCAGGCCTCTGGCAGTTTGTGTTGGCCACTCCACAGAACAGTGGTTGCCTGTTTTCTCAGCAAAGACCTTTCGAAAGTTCTTCGGTGATAGTGCTGTTTTGGTTGCTTTTTATCTAGTTAATTGAAGCTTAATGGTCTAAGTGGAAGTTGGGCCACCCTTGTGTTAAGGAGGGTTTGCACCATGAAAATGTTCACGATATGGGAGGATTTTGTGGGTGGAGCATTCTCTGTATAATCCATAGGCGTTCTGAATGTGTACAAAATGGATCTAATCTCCTCCTCCCTCTTCGTTCCCCTAGCCTTTTGGTCTAGCTTTTATACGCTGTCCTCCCACAGTCTCTTTCCCTCCCTCCCCGTCCTCCTCCCCTCCCATCTTGGCACGTCTGCGCCTCGTGGTGCTCTCCTCTCCCTGTGGGGAGCTGCCCTCTGTTCCTGATGGGCATGCAAGTGTGCATTCTTCTGTTTGGGACAGCCACTGGGCTGCGCGGGGGACGTGCACGTTTGGCTCCTTGATTTCAGAAGTTAGCTTTGGACAGTTTTTGTTCTTTATAAGATTTTGTCATTTGTTATATTCTAGCTACTGTTTTGGGTAATTCATTTTGAATTGTTCTGGCCCTTTTGACTTACTGTCCCAAGCAGTGGTAATGGCAACTGGGCACCAATAGTGATTCAGCAATGTTTGTTGCTTTGACTTAATATTTGACTTAATATTAAAAAACATTAAAAAAAATCACACTAAAATAAAAGGACAAATTTTCATAAAGATATATTGTTTATGAAGATATAAGTTGCTAAAGTATTTTTTAAGTAGAATGGTCTTTCTTAAACATGAAATAACTTTATATCATAATATATGCATCTGATGCTGGAACCCTAGAGCCTCTAGTCAGAGAAGGAAAACCGTTCCTCTGTCGTGGTGATTGCATTTGATTGTGACATTCGATCCCAAACAGTTCTGCTTTCCTATCCTCAGAGGAAGCCTTTGACAAGCTGCCTCAGGCCACTGTTCCCGAGATGCAGCGGAGCAACTTGGCACCTGTCATCCTGCAGCTGAAAGCACTGGGGATCGACAACGTCCTCAGGTTCCACTTCATGTCGGTGAGTCTGCCTTCTGTCTGGGGCCATGGGGAGGCTGGGGTGCTCGCAGCGAATGTCAGGACATTGGTGTGGAGCATGTCCCCTTCCTTTCTTCCTTCCCTTTCCCTTCCCCTTGCCCTCCCCTCCCCCTCCCCTCCTCCTCCTCTTCCCCTACCCTTCTCCTCCCTCCCTCCCTCTCTTCCTTATGTTTTGTGCCTACTTTGCACCAGTTCCTGTGCAGGGTATAGGGGAATACAGCCAGACCAGGCAGACACAGTTCCTGTTCTTGTCTGCGGGGGAAGAGAGACAAGTAATGGGTACTGCAGTGCATGTGCCCAGTGCTGGGAGAGACAGTGGCAGGGCCCCCAGCCCAGTAATTATGCCTGTGGTGAGATGTGAAACTCATGGGATTTCACCAGGTTGGGAGGGGTGGCGAGGTCCAGGATAGTGAGCATGTCTGTAGTCTCGATGAGGGTATCACAACTGGGGAGCCCAGAGGGCTTTGGAGGAGCTGTGGGGAGGGGACTGGTGGTGATTGCATTTCTGCTTATTCCTAAGGCAGGTTTCCAGGTGAGAAATTATTGGGTCAGTTGGCCATGGTCATGTTGTAGGTCCTTGACACATGGCCGAGTTGCTTTGCACGTACAAACTCCAGCAGCGCAGGAATGCCCTACTCACTGTGCTCCCATCACGCCGTATTATTTTCTTACAGGGTTTTGCTCATTTGATTGATGGTGGGGAGGGAGGGAGGGAGGGAGGGAGGGAGGGAGGAAGGAAGGAAGGAAGGAAGGAAGGAAGGAAGGAAGGAAGGAAAGAAGGGAGGGAGGAAGGAAGGAAGGAAGGAGGGAAACATACCATCTATACCTTAGTACTTTGTTCTCAAAAAGTAATTTTTAAAAAAAGTTTATGGTCCACTTTATACTTTTGTGTTAAAGCCATATCTGTTACAATTAGTGTTTAGAATCCTTGAACTATTAAAGACATTAATCTTTGTCTACAGTATTTCTTGCAAATAGTGTTTTTAGTTATTTGTATTTTACTGTTTTTAAGCTTATTATTATGTTTCAATGTGCAGGCATTCTAAATGTTTCCACAGTAAAGTCTTTCTTTACTGAAATAATCTTTGCCTTTATAACTTTTATTATTCTTGTGCTTATGAAACACTTCCTCATCTCTAGGTCAGTTAGTTAATAAATATTCACTCATGTTTCCTTCTCGGATTTTTATAATTTGGAGACTCGCACTTTAGCTCTCTGTTCTGTCCCAGCTGTGTTGGTAAACAGTGTGGCAGGTCTGGATTCCGGGTAATAAAGTCCCCAGTGTCACATACGCTACAATAAACTAGGCAAATGAAGGACCAGAAAGGAGCACTCTCCCTCGCTGGGAAAGCAATTGTGGGTTTATTGTAAGTGCGAAGAAAATACACCCTTTGTTTATTGGTGTATAGTGCAAGAAGTTATAAAGAAAAGATGAACAGTAAATGCAAATGAAAAGCTCTGAAAAACCCCACACCGAAGATGAAGGGAAAGGAAACATACAATGGCAACAGTGATGGATTAGCATCTCGTAACTACAGAGTTTTCAGACATCATTCAGAATAAATCTGGTATCCCTGAAGAAAAAGGAAGGGAAAGGAAACAGCACAAACAGTCAATTAATGTCGAAAATGCTCGCTTTTCTAGAAGAGAGAGGGGTGCAAAAGGAATAGCTATGAAGCGCCACTTTACACTGACTAATGATCACACACAAGGCGGGATGATAACAGCCAGAGCGGACCCACTGGGGAAAGTGGTTGCGTCCTGTTTTGGTCCTCATGGAGGCCTTCCTGACATTACTTATGAGCCATAGAAACTTCTGGTGTGTATTCTCTGGGAAATGTCTCCTGAAAAAGAGAGTTCAAAAGAAGACCAAAACTGTCTTCTTATATGTCCATATATGAAATGGACATTTTTTTTTATAGCATCATTTTATATTAGATTAAAAAATATATAAATAATGAAAACCATTAACTTTGGACTGAGAAATGAGGAAAATACATACCAATTCATCTTCATGTAGTCCCTTCTGGTTATTTTCCCTTGAAATGGTGTGTTTCACAATTGAAATCACAGGGTACATATAATTTTGTATATTTTGCCCTAAAATTACACTAGCAAAGAACTGAAAACAACTCAATTGCTCAGTAGCAAGTGAATTGCTTATTTTACAGAGTATGTATGACCTTGTTGGAATGTTATTGCAGCTGTCCCAAGTAATCACTGAAGTTCCTATGGGTACACGAAACAATGACAACAGAAAACCAAACAGTGAGAGAAACGAGCTAAAATTATACATATCCAGTATTCCCAGCTATGTGAAAATAGTGTTTGCATATGATCCCAAATCAGATGATGCCACTATGCTTTGTGGGGGTTGGGGGAGAGGTATTGTTTTGTTTTGTTCATTGATGATAAATTCAAAGAGTGGAATTAACAGGGGACTGGAAATAGGGTCAAGGAGTCAAAGAGGACCTCGTTAGTTTTGTTCTGTAAGTATTCAAAACCTTCCTGTTCCTGTTGACATATCTCATGTGATCTCAGGGTACAAGCTCCCAGAGGAGTTGGGCTCGTCCACTTAGGTGCAGTGTATTTTGCCTCTTGTCAAGGCAGATGTCAGAGGCACTAGTGAGTCAGTTCCATGAGTTAGTCGGCCATGATTTGTGCAGGACCCTCTGTGCAGTGATTAGGTCTAGTCCTTACCCTCATAAGCGTGTGTGTGTGCGGTCAGCACAACTTTGAAGCACAACCTTATTCCTTGGCCGCCAGGGGGTGGCCTAGAGTGAAAAAAGTGCGACCGGAGTTCGGTTTCTGGCTTTGCCATCAACTGCCTACTTGACCGTGTTCAGCTGTCTTTTACTTACTGTTACTCACGTTCTTCATCTGTAAAATTGAACTAAATATCTTGTGATACTTAAAATACGTTATGTGAATGCATTTAGGAAAAAGGAGCCACGCAGTTTGTAAAGCACTATAATTTTATTACCTGGTTTATTCTAAATGAAATAATTTAGCAGAAAATAGTAATGGTGCTTGGCAGTTAGTAGATATTCAGTCAGGATTTATGGAAGGAAGGAGGAGGTAAGGATCTAGACAGTCAGACTGAAGGTCACAGTATCAGCTTTGCTTAACTTTAGCTCATCTAGAGTTTTCTCTTATTTTCAGGAATTCAGATTCGACCACATGTCAGTTACCCCTTATAGGCAAGGCTTGGAGCAGGGCTCTGGGTGATGCCCACATCAGTCGCCAACCAGTACTGCAGTATCATGGGGCTTCCAGTGTGGTAGAAGGTGGAGGCTACAGTAAAAATTAGGATTGTCTAGTGTGAGTTTAGGAAAAACAAGGAAGCGGTTCAAGGTAGTCCACTTCTGAAGGAGGGAAGCATGAGGAAGGGCTTCCAAGGGAAATGTTTAATCAAGCGGAGATTAAAGACTGATCAGTGCTAAGGATGCTGGGAAGGAGAGGAAGGGCGGTTCAAGGGCTCCAGCATCATGACTAGGCAAGTGGAGGTGAAGTGTGGGCATGCGGGGGGCGGGGCGTAGATTGAGCAGGAAACACATTTTTATGTCTGCCACCCGAAGGAATTAATTCAGGAGGATTTTTATGTTTTTTACAGCCCCCTCCGGCACAGTCGATGGTTCAAGCGTTGGAGTTACTCTATGCCCTGGGAGGTATGCCCGTCTCTTATTGTGTGTTCTCTGACCTGTTTACTAATGTGTGATGTTAGTTAGGTTGTATTCACTGTAGGCCCCTTATTATCTTCAGGAATGGGATTGATTCTCCCCAGAGACATAATCTTCTTAAGGATTCTTAAGCTTTATGGAAATAAGGTGGCATTAATAGTACACGAAGTCTACTCATGACAGCCAATTCATAACGCATGTCAGTACCTCAGAAGTTTTAATAACCATTACCAGAGCCACCCTCCTAAAGACATCCAGAAGATTTCCTACCAGTATTTCAGGTGTTACCTCTCCTGACCTTTTTCTCTGTCCCTCCACCCACCCTGAAGTCTGTGGCTCAGCGTCCTCTCCCTGACTCCCCTTTACTCCATTTCTGGAGTTCCCTGTGAAGAACTGGGTAGGATACCAGCCTGGGCATTCTTTGGGCAAGGAAACACCATGTCATGGAGACATCTGTATTCTCTTGTTTGAAAATGCAGTATTTCCCTTAAGATAGAGAAAATTGTTGCCTAAATTCACCCCCTCAGGAAGTACGTGTTTTTTCCGTGACTGTTGCCCCAAGTGAATATAATATCCATTTTGGTATTAAGTTTTAGTGGAGGTTTTGTCCTTTGAGATTCCTTTTTTACTTTTAACATCTTTATTGAGGTGTAACTCACTCATTTAAAATGTACAATTCAGCGGTTGTTAGTATATTCACAGGGTTGTGCAATCATCACTGCAAGTTTAGAATATTTAGAAAATTTTTATCACCCCTGAAAGAAATCTGCCCATCAGTACTCACTCCTCATTCCCTCACCCCTCACTCCTCCCCGCCCCAAGGAACCACTAATCTACTTTCTGTCTCTACAGATTTGCCTATTCTGGACATTACATATAAATGGAATCATATAATATGTGGTCTTTTATTATTGGCTTCTTTCATTCAGCTTGGCGTTTTCAAGATTCATCTATGTTGGAGCACATATTAATACTTAATTTTTTTTTTATTGCTGAATAATATTCCATTGTATGGATATACCACATGTTATTCTTATCCACTCATCAGTTGATGGACATTTGGGTTGGTTTCCTCATTTTGGCTAATATACGTAGTGTTGCTGTAAACATTCGTGTACACGTGTGTGGTGGACATTCCAACCAGCAGGTTATGGTGGTTTCCAATTTCTCACATAATAGCAGATTGCTAATACTTGTTATGATCTGTCTTTTGTATTCTAGCCATCCTAGTGGATAGGAAGTGGTATCTTGTGGTTTTGATTTGGATTTCTCTAATGACTAATGATGTTGAGCACCTTTTCATATTCTTATTGGCTACTTGTGTGTCTTTTTTGGGGAAATGTCTTTAAATCTTTTGCCCATTTTTAACTTTGGGGTACTGTCTTTTTATTATTGAGTTGGAGGAGTTCTTTATATATTGTCGGTACACATTTCTTTTCAGGTCTGTGATTTGTAAATATTTCTCCATTCTGTGGCGTGGCTTTTCACTTTTTTGATGGTATCATTTGCAGTACAAAAGTTTTAAGTAATTCAATTGATCTATTTTTTTTTTTTGTTATTTGTGGTGTCATAGCTAAGAAACCATTGCCTAACCCACAGGCATGCAGATTTTTTTCCCCTAGGTTTTCTTTGAAGAGTGTTTTCATAGTTTTAGCTCATTTAGTAGGTTTATGGTTCATTTTGAGTTAACTTTTTTTTTTTTTTTTTAATCCTCACCTGAGGATATTTTTCCATTTTTTTGTACAGATAGAGTGGGAGGGAGAGAGAGGAAGGGAGAGAGAGACAGAAACATCGATGTGAAGGGACACATCGAGTGGCTGCCACCCGCACGACCAACCAGGGCCGGGGACAAACTGCAACCGAAGTACATGCCCTTAGCGGGAACTGAACCCGGGTCTCTCCGGACCGCAGGCCGACGCTCTAACCGCTGAGCCAAACCGGCCAGGGCCATTTTGAGTTAACTTTTTGAATGGAGTGAGGTTGGAGTCCATCTTCATTCATTGTATTTATGATACTTTCCTGTGGAGGAATAGCCAGTTACTGATTTAAAGGATCTTCTGTGATTTAAAAGGCCCTTAGGTGGGCCTACATCAAGCAACTCAGAGTGAGTGTGTGCTGGGATAGGTTTATACCTCCTGTTCCCAAGCATGTAACAGGAACTTGAAAGCAAACTTTCCTGGGATAATCTGTAATGGGAATGGAGAATGTTGACTGCCTAGAAGTTTTTCATCTGGACTAATTTTCCTTCAGTCGGCATAACATTTAAAATATTTTCTATTTCTTCACTGCCCTATATTAGTGGAAAAGCTAGAGGGAAACACCCAGCTTAATTTAGTTTCAAGCTGAATTATCACCTTTATTTTTTTTATCCTCACCCGAGGACACTTTTTTTTTTTGCATTTATCTTTAGAGAGAGCGGAGGGAGAGAGGGTGGAAGAGAGAGAGAGAAACATCGACGTGAGAGAGACACATCCAGTTGTTGCCACCCACATGACCCCAACTGGGGCCGGGGACAAACTGAAACCGAGGTACATGCCCTTAGTGGGAACCGAACCTGGGCCTCTCTGGTCCACGGGCTTATGCTCTAACCGCTGAGCCAAACCGGCCGGGGCTGAATTATCACCTTTAAAGAAGCTTGTGGTTTAATGCTACATCTTGGGACTAGTCTAAACAATAGTAAAACAGTCCACATCATGGGCATTCGGTTTCTGGCTATTGGCCAGTGGTACAGAGGCAAGGAGGGATGTGGAGAATTGAAGGAGTCGGCCCGGTTCAGTCAACTGCCCGGGAGGCAAAGTTAGATAAACAGCCCCGGTGTTGGCACCAAAGAGAGACCTGGACAAGTGCTTAGATTCATAGTCACGGCCTTGTAGTTGCTCACCTTGCCAGGGAAGAACACAGGGCACAGAATGTCGTCCCGGGACATCTGCCATGAGACCTGGAAGAGGATCCAGAGGCGACGGGGGTGGGGCACAAGAGATGGCGGAGAAGCAGGAGAGTGGGGGCCTGGAAGCCGGGGAAGAGTGTTTCCAGGGAGCCGTGGTCCACAGGGTCAAGGGCTGCTGCAGACCCTCCGGAAATGCCCTTTGTGTTTCACGCGGTGTGGCAGGGCCCTTGGAAAGAGCCGTCTGGGGCGTGGGGACCAGAGTGAGGCCGCTGTGGGCAAGGAGAGAGTGGGAGCAGGAGGAGGCTGCAGGGCCGTTCCTTATAATGAGGTCCTCGAATAGGAGCCATCAGAAGTATCAGTTTTTATTTATTTAGTTTTACTTTTTTTTTTTTTTTTTAAGAAGTGTCAGTTTTTAAAATTAAATATTCAAGAGCCTAAAGGAGATCTTTTCTTGTGAGGGCACTCTCGTGTCAGGTTGAGTGTGGCAGTGTGTGATTCATCTTTTGCATATCTTTTTTCAGCATATATCATCTTTTATTCCAACAACTGTCTGTCTGTCAACACAGTGGGGCATGCCTTCTGATGGTTGTCATTCTCACGGCAGGTCTGGACAAAGACTGTCGCCTCACTGAACCACTTGGCATGAGAATAGCGGAGTTTCCTTTGAATCCCATGTTTGCAAAAATGCTGCTTGAATCAGGTGGGTGGAGACCGACAGTTCTCACTGATTTTATTGTGACTGGCAGAGGAGTTATTTTCCTGAGTTCTGTGCGCCCCGGGGAAGCGAGTACAATATATTTATAGTGAAGGCGCTATCTCCTAAAGCTGTCGGGTTTGGGGCATGTTGCTAACTTGTAATTCAGTGTCAGTCATCAGCAATTCAGTAAGCATTCCTGTTTATTTCTCATGGGCCTAGCACCAACACCTTCAGATTTTTTTTAACAGGGAAGTTATTGTGGTAGAAAATACATAACAGTATTTACCATTTTAAGCATTTGTTATGTGCATAGTTCTGTGGAGCATTAAACACATTCACATTGTTGTTGAAGTGTCGCCACTATTCATCTCCAGAACCTTTTCATCTTTCCAAAGTGAGACTGTCCCCATTAAACCCTAACTCCCCAGTCTTTCCTCCCCCAGCCCCTGCAACCACATTCTGCCCTTGTCTCTGACTGTGACTCTTTTAGGATCCTCTTATAAGTACAGTCATACAATATTTGTTTTCTTGTGGCTGACTTGTGTCTTTTGGTATAATGTCTTCAAGGTTTATCCATATTGTAGCACATGTCAAAGTGTCCCTCCTTTTTAAGGCTGAGTAATAGTCCATTGTATGCATAGGCCACGTTTTGTGTGTCCGTGCATCTGCTGGTGGACACGTAGGGAGCGTCCACCTCGTGGCTGTTCTGAGCAGTGCTGCTGTGAACAGGGGTGTGCAGATGTCTGTTCAGGCCCCTGCTTTCGCTGCTTTCGGATATATACTTGGAATGGAATTGCTGCAATCATCTGTTTGATTTTTTTTTTTTTCTTGAGCAATTACCATACTGGTTTCCATAGTGGCTACAGCATTTCGCATTCCCACCATCAATGCACAAGGGTCCCAACTTCTCTGACACCTTCAGAATCTGTGAGGATATGAGTTAAGGGATAACAGTGTATGACCTGGAGGTCTTCTCATACTTAGAAATCAGAATTACTTAGAGAGTGCATTTTTCTCACCCCAGGAAAGGAAATAATTTTTTGTCTCTCTTTTATCTATCTTTTTACATTAACTGGCAATCCACAAAGCTGTATGTCAGACTGAACATGGTGAAAGTTAGCTGTCATTGTGTTTTGGAACAACCAGATGACCTTAGGCTTACTTGAGGCAACAGGATTCTAAGTTGGGAGTTGGGGAGTCTGTCACTCATGAGGCAGGAAGCTGGGGCAGTGGGACCGGCAGAGTCCCGGGGGGCCGATCGCTGCAGATGCTGGTCCCGGGTGCCAGCAGCAGCCCCCAGAGTGCTTCCTGGGCTAGCTTGAGCCCTAGTGACAGGCAGGCCACCTCAGAGAAGGGTCCAGGAGCAGAAACAGCAGAAGGGACACAGCCCACATGTTCGCTGCCCCCTTTCCCTCTCGGGCTCCCTGCCAGGATGCTAGGCGTTCACGTGAGGGTCGGAGCGGGTGTGGGGCTGACCTCCTTCAGTGGCGGTGCGTCTGGCTCCCCGTGCTCGCAGTGCGGATCCCTCCCTGTTACCGCTGCAGATGGACGAGCAGCTCCTTTCTCGGAGTCCGTCCAGGCCTCCGTCAGCTGGGCCAGATACAGGACATTCCATTCGGCAGGGTGAAGCATCTATGAATTATAAACTTTAAAAATCAAGCCATATATGGATATATCACCGTCGTTTGCAGTATGGTACAAGGGAAAGATGGGAAAATGTTTTTCACTTCTCACTGAAATCAAACGTGCTTTTTGTTTTATAGGAAATTTTGGCTGTTCTCAGGAAATTCTCAGCATTGCAGCCATGATGCAGATCCAGAATATCTTTGTGGTCCCCTCCAACCAGAAGGCTCAGGCAGTAAGTCCAACGTTCTCTCTGATGTTCGTACCAGTGCTTTTCACTCTGGGCTTTCCTTGTTAAAGCAACTAGCAGCTGCTGGCCGCCGAGCTGCACATGCTAGCTTACATGTGAGTTTGCTGTGTGCCTGACGCTGTGCCAGATGTTTTCTCTGCATCATTCCGTTTTACCTTCACCATAAACCGCTTGGGAGATACTGTTACAATCATTTTTGGAGATGGACGCACAGGAAGGTTAGGGGACTCATTCAGGGGTGCACAGCCACGGTGGAGCTGCCTTTCACAGTCCAGAGCCCCAGGTCTTAACCATTGTCCTGCTGACTCTCCCGTAAGGGGAATTGTCCTTCAGGCTGCTCTGGGAGCAACCCAGTGTGCACATCAGGGACGTAGGAGTCCGCGCCTGGGCACAGCAGCCAAGGAGATGACAAGGCCTTGCCTGAGGCCCAGGCACCAGTGACTGAAAGAGTGAATGTTGGAAGACGGGAGGGAAGTTACATTGAAGAGCACCGCAGAGGTGAGGCACACGATGGAGGCAGGTCGGTGATGAGCTCAGGTTGCTGCTGTCGGAAGGGTCAGAAAAGGCAGCCTTGTGCACGGAGGGGCTGACTCTGGACGTGTCGTGGGAGGCGTGAACCTTCATATAGATTCTTGTCATCTTCTCCGAGAGCCGTATAACCACGGATGACGAAGTGTCCTGCCTCCGTGCCCAGGTGGCTTTGTCTCTTTCCTACATTTTCTGTTTATTTGCTTCTCCGTTAGCCTGTTTAACAGCCCTACCTCAGGACAGGCACACTCACTTTCAGGAGGAGGAAGCTGAAGTTCTGACCAGTTTGCCTCAAGACGCAACATACACCTGCCTGCCATTTCCATCCCCGTCCCTGCTTTAATGTTTTCCTCTAACTCTTGCCACCTAATATACTAAATATTTTGCTTATTTATCTTGTTTACTGTATTTCTCTCACCACCGTTTTTTTCACTATTATATCCCAACTTCCTAGAACAGTGTCTAGCCTACAGTAGGTGCTCAGTAATTTCTGTTATTGAATGCTGGAAGGAAGCAGGAAGGTGAATTATGTGGTGTTGGATGCAAGGAGAAAATTCTGCAGTTAATAGCATGTGTGTGCTTGTATCGATATTGCGTATGCTGCTCCTTGAATCCGTGGGAGCAGATGGCATTGCCCAGGATGTTACAGAAAGAAAAATCTAGGGATGGGGTCTGAGTGGTAGTCTAGGAACATAACGTGTCTACCACGCGTCAGACAGTTGGGCCCCTGCCCTCCTGGAGCTGACATTCCGTTGGGGGCTGGGAGTTGTTCTGAAAGAGATGATGCTGCCTGGATAGAGGAGGTGGAGACAAGAACACTAACATTTATCTAATAACTGTGCCAGGCACTTTATAGTGAATTATCTTAATCCCACAGCAGTCTTGGTAGGTAGGCTTAATATCCTGATTTTACAGATAAGGAAATTGAGGCCGAGAAAGATTAAGTAACTAATCTGAGGTCTTTCAGGAAATGCAGAGCTAGAATGATGCAAACCAGGTCTTTCTGGCTCTACAAGCCATGAGCCATTCATTGTATGTTGTCTCCCAGTCAGAGGCTCACAGGAGTCAACTTCTGAATGTTGTTTTTTTCTTTCCAGATTCGAGTGCACCGAAAATTTGCTGTGGAGGAAGGTGATCATCTCACTATGCTCAACGTGTATGAAGCATTTATCAAAGTAAGCAGAGCTGCCGCTTGAAAGGTCCCTCCACACACCCGTTCACTCTGGGAGCGAGGGCTCCAGTAGTTCAGTTCCTACAGGAAGGGCCCAGGGACCACTCTGCTTCCCTGTTAGATTATTGCCAGTACTCCTTGTCTGTGGGTGGCCCGTGCCTGAGAATGTGGTGCAGTTTTGCGGGAAGAACTCAGGACTCGTTTCTTCTTCCGGCCTGGAGATGTGGCCTACCAGCAGTAGGCTGCCAGCTTGGCCCTCCTTGCCCTCCCCTCACGGTCTCTCCCCACCTCGCGTGGCCAGACAACTCTGTCCACATTGGACTAGAAGTTCTGTTACATTTCCTGCAAATCACTGAGGCTAGGAGTGACTGAGAGGGTTAGTTGACCCTTCAGAGCTGTTGCTGTGAGTGTGCGGCTGCGCACAGCCCCATCCCGGCAGCAAACAAGTTGGGAGAGACGCCTTGGCGAGGGTCCGTGGGTCCTCACGCGCCCTGTCTACATTCAGCCATAGGCGGTGCTCATTTGTGTTCTTAACATTCTGTACTCCTCAGAGCAAATACAGCTTAAAGTTATCACTAAAAATTGCTAAAGAGATTCAAGACAATGAAGACAATGAAAACAGAAACCTCTCAGACAAGGGAAAGGACATAAAAGGAGGAAATTACATATTTCGGATTTTTAGTATCCTGTAAATTTATTTTTAAAAACCTTTTTTAGTGGAGGAGAAACACGTAACCTTTTGTTTTACCAGAGATCTAAAGGGAGACATTCAGTGAATGAAGTTTTCAGAAAAACCTGCTCTCTTACTGAGATGATGATGGATGACGGATTAAGTCAGCTGACATTTATTTGTATACGCAATCTGTCACCTCAGCCAGAGCTCCCTGCCGGTGGGTGTGGTACCGGCCCCACTGCGTGGCCTGTGGCTGCCTTCTGGGAAGTCCTCCATGATTCACACTTTCTCCTCTAAACACTTTCCTCCCTGGCTTGGAATATAATTTCCGAGGTACATTCCCACAGCAGTAATTAATCTAAGACATACTGTTTAGAATGTAGACAGAATCAAGGACCGTTGATTGGAAAATCATGCGTTAGGGATAAATAATAGTAATTTGGAAATTATTTCTGAATTGGCAAGTGTCGAATTGCTTGCCTGCGGTCAAATAAAGTGATAAACTCAAGCCTGCCAAGGAAGGAAAGCTGATTTACAAAGAACCGCAGGGAAGTGGTTCTGTTTGGTAGTTTGCCACTGACGTAGGAAGGTATTTAAGATTGTCATTAAGATTGACAACGCTGCTTGTCATTAAGCCCTGTTTGCCCTCTGGGCAGAGGGTGAGATCACAGAGCGGCCAGATGGCGAGCTGGCCAGCATCTCCCGGCGTCTGTTGAGAGAGGTGTCCAGAAGGACGGGCTGCCGTCCGAAGATCTGGTCCCACCGAGGCAGCGAATGCAGGGAGAGAATGACGGTCTCCCCAGCCCCGCTGCGGTCGAGAGCCCGCCTGCTTCTCTCTCTCACTGCCTCCGTCCGCACTGTTCCTTAGCACAACAAGAACTCGCAGTGGTGCCAGGAACATTTCCTGAATTACAAGGGTCTCGTCAGAGCTGCGACCGTAAGAGAACAGTTGAAAAAGCTTCTGGTCAAGTTTCAAGTGCCCAAGAAGTCGAGTGAAGGTAAGCAGCAGCTGCCACTGCTGTGACGTCCCTCTGTGTGGTCGCTTCTCCGGGTGGCTTGATGCGAGGCTGCACAGTGCTCTCTGCCTGCCGCCGCCGCCGGGCTGTGTGGAGAAGCCGCTCGTTTCATTTCTGGGTCCGAGGGCTGTTCCTAAAAACTTTCCCGAGTCCTGACACGAATCATTAACCTTCAGATCATGGCACATTATATAGTTAATTTTCCCTGTAGGCTTCGTAAGAACAATTCTTCTAAGTGCACAGTATCTGTGACTGTGACCTGTAAGTTACATTTTACTTTCAAATACAGGTATTATATAAGCCCTGTGTGTTTAACCTGGGCCGTCACCAGGGTGAGACACGCGCTGTGTGAGGCACTGTCACTGGCCTCTAGCAGTGACGGTGACTGCCGTTAGTGAGGACACACAAGTTACCCTGTGATGGGTTCTGCAGGTATTCTCCCAGTCGCCCACTCTGCGAGGTGCAGGTGATACTCCCCTTATTTCACAGCTGAGTTGTCAAGTCCTAGGGAGAAGGTATGTTCAGGACAACGGTGATAGCAGAGGAAGGCCTGTGTGGCTCAGAACCTACACCTTTGAGGAAGTGACACATTTGTCCTGCATTCAGCAGTTACTTTTTGATCACCCATGGTGTGCCAGGCACTCAGTTGTACTTAGCACCCCGGTGCTTGCCTGTAAGAGGCCAGGCAGTGTTCTGAGTGTTTCCATATGTCAACCCTTCAATGCCACAACAATCCAGGGAGAAATGAGGCCAAGAGGCAACGAGTAACTTGCTGCAGTCACACAGTGAGTGTGTAGTGGAATCAGAGCTTGAACCCAGGCAGTTTGTTTTCAGAATCTTATTTTGCCTTGCACTACGAGCAAGTGATTACAAGGTGAAGACTTGGTTCTTACTCTCAGGACAGTGCAGTTAAGAGAGAGACACAGATAGATCAACTATTGCAGTAGTAGATCACCAGCTCTCTGAGAAGTTAGGAGAGCAGACAGTTACGAGAGTCTATTACTGTAGCAATGCAGACACAGTGATTGTGGTGGGCAGGTGTGGGGGCTCGGGGAAGAAGGTGTCCAGCGGGGGCTGGCCTGGGAGGTCTCCCAATAGGCCTCGAGTGCTGGCGGACGTCCAACAGAGCCAGACAGGCTGAGGGAGAAAATGGTGGCAAAGGGCACGCTAGGCAGGGAGGACCGTGGACACGGGTGCTTGAAACGAGGAGCATAGTTGATGCTCAGAGAATATTGATGAATGAATAAGCTCATGAGAGAGGGAAGAGTTGAAAGCTGGGTGATTGGGTAAAGCTGGTGTCGTTGCTAGAAACAGGACGCCTACAAGGGCAGCTTTTCGAGAGAAGCTGATGGAGAGAAGCCGATGGAGTGCCCATCACCTGGCCGAGAGAGGGGCTCTTCTACCTCTGTGTACTTAACCTGTTTCTCCTTGTCAGCCCTGCCCAGCAGAGTTACATTAGTTCTTCCAACGAGATAAATTAAAACTAAGAAGTAAGATTTTGGCAGGTAGGGTTGAACTTTGGAGGGCTTCAACCATTGTAATATCTAAGATTTCCTCCCACCTTGCTCCCCAAGAACTGTTTTCCACCCCTTTTGTTCTACATGGAAGTTTCTCGTGGCCAGTTGGGAAGAAGGGAGTGAAACTAGGTCAGGTTGTGGTTAGAGGTAGGAATTTGAGTCATCAGTTCTGTAGTAAAAAGAAATCAGGAGTGATCACATAATTGTGCAATACAAGAAGGAGGGACCTTTTGCCAAAACATTGCTGGTAAGAATGCAGAGAAGCTGACTTTCTCGTACACTGTCCATGGCTTTGCCAATTATACCACCTTTGGGGACTTATTAACAAACTGTATTTTATTGAAACTGAAACACCATTATGAATAAGACATGCCGTTATTTTATGTTCTACTAAGAAAGGAAAAAACGCTGCCAATTATAATGATAAAATGCTGTCTTTATTTCAGCGAGTTAAAGTGTAAAAAAGAGTGAGTCATAATTGATGAAATATGGTACGTTATAAGCCGTATAAATGACACTATCTGTTTGCACAAAAATTTGGAATGTGTCCCGTGGGAATCATCTAATAAATGGGAAGTCTTTATCCTTGGAAGATGTTTACTATAGCAATACAGACACCAGTTAAAATGGGGCATTTGAAAGTTTTGAGGAATTGCACACTAGCTTATAACCACAGAAATGATACAGTGTCAGTGTCCCGGTTTGTGTCCTGTGGCAGGAACATCATTCTCACGAGATGCTGACCTAGAAAGGAGTCCCTGAGGTCACTGGCCAGCTGGTGGCGTGTTCTCTTAGGTTCATGTGCCCAGCCTTGGTCTGGGTGTCTGTGGCCCAGGAGGGTTGGGGACCCCAAGTTAAAGGAACAGTCCAGCATGTTTCCTTGGCCCCCATTGTAGGTTGCAAGGTGGCCCGAGGCAGCCTGGGGTGGGGCCTCACAGCACAGGCCTGAGCATACGGCAGGTGAGGGTCTCATCTGTCATTCTGTTGGTTGCCTTGTGTAGGTGATCCAGATCCGGTTCTGAGGTGCATCGTTTCGGGATTCTTTGCAAATGCAGCGAGGTTTCATTCTACTGGAGCTTATAGGTAACGTGATACTTTGTGAAGTCATTTATTAAAGGAGAAATCTTAAAAATGATCCAAACCACATAGAAAGCTAATGTGCAGGGAAAGGAGAGAAATTAAATTAAAGAATTTCCCCCTATTTGTATCTTGCCTCTATCCAAAGATGAGTTGAGGTTAGCTATATGACTTTAAGCAAAATCTCTTTATGGAAATGCTTCTCAAATATGCAGCCCATCCACATGTAGAATGATGACAATTTATAAGTCAGGAGGCTGGTAATATTTTCATCCTGGTAGTAAACTGCTAGGACTAGAAGGAACATTGAAGATGATCTTTCCTAGACAAGTTACTGTTGTCATTGGGTAACTCATGTTTTTTGTTTTTGTTTTTAAATCCTCACCCGAGGATATTTTTCCATTTATCTTCAGATAGAGTGGGAAGGAGAGAGAGAGAGAGAAACATCGATGTGAGAGAGAGACATCAGCTGGTTGCCTCCTGCACGACCCCGACCAGGGCTGAGGACCGAACCGCAACCAAGGTATGTGCCCTTGACCAAAATCGAACCCAAGACTCTTTGGTCCATGGGCCAGCGCTCTAACCGCTGAGTCAAACTGGCCAGGGCTGTCTCTACTATGTTCTGTCTCTCGCTCCAGGCCGAGTAGTCTAGCTTGTCAGTATCACGATCCTGTTGCCCATCGCATGAGCGACCCCAGCGCTGTTGTCCATGCTTGAGGTGGCTCTGAGAGGCCTGTGGTCCCCTCCAGTGAGCACTGTTACTTGCCCCATTCTCCTCAACAGTATTAACTGGCAGTTTCTACTAGTAGTTAAAAAAATCCTCCAGTGTCCTCAACAAAACTATGGGCTATATAAGAGGCTTCACAGTCAGTGAGTCCCTTCGAGATGTTCAGTGTCGGTCAGCTCAGACGACCTGGCGGGACAGCCGGGACCCCAGGGGGCGGGCTTTGTAGCAGTGCTGGAGATGAGCTCGGTCATGGTGCTTGAACCACTTCCCTGATGCCTGGCGTCCACAGAGACAGGGTCATGGTTTGGGCAGTGACACCCTAATCTATGAATGCTCTCCGTGATCTGCTCTTACTGATTGTTCTGTGCTCAGTACTTCTTTAAAAATTAAATTGCATCAAATCTGAGTTGGAATTTGAAATATTATCTCAGCAAAATGGATACTTCAATATTGAGCTTTCTTTTTCCCCTGTTATTATCTCCTCAGTAGTCTTTATCTTTAGTATTTAACTTTGTTTAATAGAAGTAATAATTTATATTATTTGTTCCCAAGGAAATTATTTTGAAAGAGAACCTGCAGAAGATAAACATAAACATTGGCAGAGCAATATATTTCTAAATTTTTTTCTGGATGTCCATGTGTTGCCTTTCTTTTCTTCCCTCGTGTGCATGATTATTCTTGACTTCTGGGTGGTCGTGGGGGAGGGGCCCACAAAGGGCACAAGAGAAGGTGGAGCGAATAGTTTTGTTCTATGAAGTACCATTTGCATTCATTTTTTTTTTTTTAATCCTCACCCGAGGACATTTTCCCATTTTTTTGTTCAGGTAAAGTGGGAGGGAGAGAGAGGAACAGAGAGAGAGAGAGAAACATCGATGTGAAAGGAACACATCGAGTGGCTGCCACCTGCACGACCGACCAGGGCCGGGGACAAACTGCAACCGAGGTACATGCCCTTAGCGGGAACCGAACCCGGGTCTCTCCGGACCGCAGGCCGACGCTCTAACCGCTGAGCCAAACCGGCCAGGGCTGCATTCATTTTTTAAAAAATAAACAAACACGTCCCTGGGAGAGTCTCGCTATAAGTATTTAAAAGGTGCTTCAGATAAAATTGTTGTCTTACAGGACCATCCGTGATGATCACGAGCTGCACATCCACCCCGCCTCCGTCCTCTATGCGGAGAAGCCGCCTCGCTGGTACGCGCCCTGCTGCTCCGCCTCACGGCTGTGGGCGGAAGGCCCGGCGTTCGGCCCTGGGTCCCTATTCCTGGGCAGACCCCGTACACTTGGTGGATTTGGTAACTGGATCGTCCTAGAATGTGTGCTGTCAGAGCCTCCTTAGCAGATGGTGCTAGTCCTCTACTCGCTCATCCGCTCAGCACACGCTTGGTTTTGCCCGTGGACTAGACACTAAACACTGCATCAGGCACAGTGTGTGGAGATGAATTCAGATCCCAGATGAAGTCATAGTTCTTTTTTTTTTTAAAGGTTCTTAGGAAGAAACGTCAGCTTTTTTTCTTTTTTGTTAATCTTCACCTGAGGATATTTTTCCATTGATTTTCAGATAGAATAGAAGGGAATGAGAGAGAGAGAGAGTTATGAGAGAGACATGTCAATTGGTTGCCTCTTACACAACCCCAACCAGGGTGGCGACTGAACTTGTAACTCAGGTATGTGCCGTTGACTGGGAATCGAACCCGAGACCCTTCGGTCCTCGGACTGACGCTGTAACTGCCTAGCCAAACCAGCCCGGGTGAGTCCATAGTTCTGATAGACCCAAAGAGATTCCAGTATCTGAGGAGAAGGGCTTTGATGCAGAGGTGTATGAAGGGCTGAGGTCGGCACCTCCTGTGCCACGGAGAGTCGGGGATGGCTGAGATGTTCTGGAAATCACATAGACCTTAGTCTCACTGTGAATGGACACACTCTTGTCCACCACTCAGGTCATGGGGCTCGAGTGGGCAACATCAGCGCATTTGTATAGTGGGTGCCTGGCACACAGTAGATACCTATTAAAGGTGATGGGAAAAACTCCTCAGCTCTGATACAGGAAGTTAGCTCATGTTTCTTTTCTTGTTTCAGGGTTATCTACAATGAAGTTATACAGACCTCCAAGTATTACATGAGGGATGTGACCGCTATTGAGTCTGCGTGGCTGCTGGAGCTGGCGCCGCACTTCTATCAGCAAGGCACGGTAGGAGCGAGCAGTCTGTCCCTGAAACTGCCTCTTCATATTTAAACTTTTTTTTTCCCTTTATTGCTTTTAGAGAGAGAGGAAGGGAGAGGGAGAGAGAGATAGAAACATTGATTGGCCGCCTCCTGCATGCCCCCACTGGGGATTTGGCCCACAACCTGGGCATGTGCCCTGACTATGAATCGAACCAGTGACCTCTTGGTGCATGGGTCAATGCTCAACCACTGAGCCACACCGGCCGGGCATATTTTTACATGCACGCTTCTTCCCCAGTCAGTGCTTGAAATTGTGCCCCCGTAGTGCATCGGGTAAAAGGCAGTCACCACATCCCCAGCCACCTGGGTGGAAGCACTGTGCTTGCTCAAGGGAAGTGCTTTGAACAGTGACACGTGAGATAAAGAATGTATCTTCAGCTCTTTCTTTCACCCTCTGCTCTCCATTCACTTTTTATTTTTCTGTTTAGATTCTCCTGGTGTTCGCTCATGTTCATATTTTTCTTTAAATCTTTTAACATATTATTTTAAAAGGCTTGTTTACTAATTGAACATCTCAGGCATTTTCTGGTCTATTTCATCTTCTTACAGTTTTTCCTCGTTAGGGGTCTCATTTTCCTGCTTCTCTTGTCTAATAAATTGTTGTTTATTTTGGATAATATAACTGCTATGTTGTGGAGAATCTGGATTTTGTTGCCTTTATCTTTAAAGAATATTGAGCTTTTTTCTAGTAGATGTTAATAATGGCAGATTAGTTTAATTCCACTGAGGCTTGATTTCAGTCTTTAATAGAACTGGTCTAAAGTAGCCATACCCCTATGACACGATGACCTTTTCCATGTCTCATCTGAATGCCCAGGATATTCAGTGAGGTCTTTGCACTCTGGCAGACCTCCAGACTCCCCTTGTCAGCTCACACTCCCCAGCCACTTTGTCTGCCAGCCCTGCCAGGTCTCGGCCCGCACACGTGCAGTTTGGTGTTCAGCCAAACCCGGAAGGGCAGCCCCACATTGGGTTCCGCTGCTGGTCCTTTCTCATGACTTGTGTGGGTCACGGCGGTCTCGGGCTTCCTGAGCCCTTCCGACCCGTTTCCTCTGCCCAGAAGTACTGCTCTGCGTTTAGGTCTCGCATCTTCCTGTGGGCCAGAGTTTGCAGAGCCAGGCAGAGACCTGGGATGAATATGGAGCTCACCTTGAGTGTCCCCTTTTCTGAAGGGTCCTTGCCCTGTGTATCTGTTGCCCCATGCCTGAAAACATTTGCGTCGGATATTTTGTCTGGTTTTACCATCGTTCACCACAGAAAGGAAAGCCCGAAACCTATAACTTCATCAAGGATATATCCAGACTGCAGTATTTTCAACCCAAAATTTGGATTGATTGGGGCATTTAAAAATTGGGAGGTTTCACATTAAATAGGGGTTTCGGGTTTCTCTGGAAAGAGTGCTCAGTCTGCTCACACGGGCTTGAGTTTCTGCGGGGCAGCCGCCGGCCTGGGGAGGGACTGCCCGCTGTAGTGACATTCCTTCCGCTCCTGGGGGCGTCGGCGTCGTGACCTTGGACGTGGAAGAATCTCATCCACCCCCCTCTCGCAGTGTAAAGGGAAATGGTCTTTTAAATTTTTTCTTTTTAATATTTAAATCTTATCCAAACAAAAATCATTTCAAACATGTCCTCATACGGATATTTCAGCCCCAAGTGAGATCAGCTGCAGGGACCGGTGACGTGGCAGAGCGTGGTCTCTGCTGTGTGCGGAGGACGACCTACAGTACAGAGCATCTTTCCTCAGGGCCTCCGGGGGGAGGCCAGCGGTGATCAGAATGCAAAGCAGACGTTGCGAAGAAGGGCGCGGCTGTGACTGCTTGTGAGGTGCCGGCTGAGGGAAGGAGACCCTACACTTCTGAGGCTGCTGGAGAACACGGCTCCCCCGGGGCCGAACCATGGTCCTTTTCAGTTCCAAGTTCGGTTCTTCAGGTCACACCCGCAACGTTAAAGAGCAAACAGCCCCAGAAGTTTGAAGGAAATGACAACCACAAACTTCTGCATTTGTTTCTTCTCTCCACATGCCTGCTGTTCAGCTCTTCAGCTCTACTTATGTTTAGAGGGGCCAGGGCCCTTAGAAATCACCTGGTACATCCACTGTATTGTATAGGGGAGGGCCCTGAAATTCCCCAAGAGAATTCCCCTGAATTTCCCCTTACCTAGACAGTCCAAAGGTACTGCTGTTAACTTGTGAATCCAGAAGGAATGGATTTCTCACGAGCCCTGCAGACCTGCGGTGGCTGCGCATGTATGGTGGATGCTCCTTGGCTGAACGCAGTGGAGCACCTTGTGATCGCCCAGGGCCCACAGGCCATCCAGGCTCTGTCCCTGGCACCCTTGGTGACTTTCCATTACCGTTGTTTTTCAGTGTTGCTCTCACCCTGTAAAGAGGCCTGAAATGGTCCAGAGTTGGCTTTGTTTATACTCAACATTCTTCCCAGAAACGAACACCAAAAATGGTCCCACAGGCGTGATGAGGTCATCTCCACTTCCAAAGCTAAGGCTGTGGGGTGTCTGACATTAGTTGTAGGGGTCACGTCAGGTGATGTGAGAGAATTTAGAGAAATTCAACAAGACCCGCAGCTGGGGAGAAAACCAGGGTGACCTGTTCGGAGATTTGCCTGTCAGTCCTGACTTTACTTCCCTGATTCTTAGAGATGTCTTCGGAATCGGGGGAACGCTGTCAGCCAGAGCCTCGCAAGAACCCTACTGTCCTTCGTTGGGCATAAGCAGTTAGAAAGGGGCCTCTTACAGCTCACTGGGACTCGTGTCCTGTCCGCTTAGCGGCGTGTTCGGTGGGGTGTTGTGCCTTCTTTGGCGCCCTGCATTCTTCCGGGGCCCGCAGTTCTCTGTCTCGGGCCAGGGGGGCGTGCTAGGAAGCGGGGTTTGGGCACCGCGCCTCGGGAGTGTGGCCGTCAGGGCTGGGAGTTCCTCAGGTGACGATCTCACCGTGTGGGAAGGTGACATCTCTTGGTTGTTTGTTTACAATTTTTAAGGGGATATCAGGAGCACTTTACTAAGGGGATATCAGGGGTACTTTAGCCGGTAAGCAAAGTTTTTTATTAAAAACATGTTTATGCACTGTGCCGTAAATGTACATTTTAGGATTTCTAGCTAGCACTTTGGGCTCTACCTTGGGATGTAAAGTGTTTCTCTCTCAATCTGTTATCTGCTGCCCATCATTATGTTATGCTTCTTGTGTTATTTATGCTGGTAGAAGCGACATTTCTGAAAGAAAACCTGTCCCTGGGAGGTGTCCTTATCCAGTGTCTTCCCTGCGCTCGCACAGCGTCCCACAGGGCTGGGCCCAGAGCACGGGTGCCTGCATGTGAGACGCGTGTCCCCTTGTTCCTGTTCCAGAGGGGAGGACACTTTGCCTTGACCCTTTTTAAGGAATTCAGGAATTCTTGTCTGGCCTGAGCCTGTCCCTGGGCACAGGTGTTTGGCTGCAGCAGTGCCCTGGGGGCTGGGCAGAGGGGGACCCTTCCCACTGACAGCTTCCGCTCCACCGCGTGACCAGGTCGAGCCCTGTGGGCTGGGCCTTGGGCTGCGTGGCCCACTGCAGGCCCTGTCCTCTGCTGGTCACTTGTGATTTTTTCCTTGCAAACTGTTTCCTGAGGGGCGGGCGTGGTCCTCACTGAGAAGGTGTGAACCGGGTGAAAGCTTTGATTCCGTCATTCACATCATTTATGTGGGAATTGTGTTGAAGACTGGTCTGTCTTACCAACCCCAGTTATGTTTTCTCTTCTCTTGCAGCACCTGTCCCTAAAAGCCAAAAGGGCCAAAGTCCAGGACCAGTGAGCAGAGCGAGGCCGCAGCTGCAGGGGCTGCTTGGGGCCCTGTCCCCAAGCCCTGGGCGCAGGGAGCCACGGCTCATGTGGAACTTCAGCTGCTCTGACGGGGCAGCCCGTCCTTAGCCCCTCTCCCTGCTCCCTCAGCATCTGCGTTCCCCGCTGGGACCCTGGAGGAGTGGTGCGGGGGCAGGCGTCTGCCACGCTGCACCCAGCAGAGCAGGGGTTGGTAGGCTTTGCTCTTGGTCAGTCGGCACCCCCACTGACCCAGATGCCACCCCAGCAGGCACGCCGTGGCCCGGCCTAGGGAACGAGGAGAAAAGAGCCGCTGCAGGCTAGGGCACCGTGTCGGGCATGCCGAGGGTTTGCTGGGCGGGCTTTGCTTTCTCTGGGGCCATGGCCGTGCTGACCAGTGAGGTCCCTGCCCGGGCGGGTGTCTGTATCTACGGAGGGAGTGGCCCTGGAAACACTGCGGATTTCCACCAAATTCACCGAGGGGCTTGTCTGGCGGGCACAGGGGCTCCTGAGCCAAGCAGCTTCTGGTTCCCCTTTTCCCACGTCCCTATTTATCTGTGGCCAGAGGACTTGCGAGGATTGGCGATCAACAGTTAGCAAACAGTTTCTCTATTTCACAAGTGGGCTTAGCTTTCTTCGTGTACGACACCATGTCCTGGTGCCCCCAGCTCAGCCCCAGCGGGAGGGACCCTCTGCCGCAGGAACGCACAACAGTTAGAGGCGCTCTGCTTCGTCCTCAGGAACAGCTCGCACGGCGTCTTCGCTCACCGGCCGGGTCCCGGTGAGCACGCGGGCAGCCTCCTGCAGGCCCTGGTTTCGTTGCTGCCCAGGCTCGTCACTGTGGCGCTGGCATTCAGCACGCGGCCGATCCAGGTTCGGTTCCCCTTCCTGTTCCAGTGACGTTTATTTTGAGAACACGTAGCTTGAAAGTTTATTTTTGTACTGATCTTAGTTTGTACGTGCCACTTTGGCGCCAAACACATGTCATTTTTATTTCCATTTTATAAACATGTTAATAATAGTGGTAACTTGTTAGTAATAGTAAACCTTTATACCTAAAGTAAACGTATTCCCTCCCACCCTGGTTCTCGTGGTCTGTATTTTATGACAGTCGTTTTATTCTTCTGAGTGAGGGTCTGACATTAGCTAGGAACCTGATGCTGTAGCCTGCAGCAGCTTTTGGGGTCACATAGACAAGGGCAGCCCCGTTCAGCAAGGTCACGTGACCAGAGGCTCACGGCTTCACTAGAGCAATCCATGGAACGTGGTTTCCACGAAGTCCCGAGGATTTTTGCCAGTTTCTGATCGGGATCTTCCGTGGAGAGGTCTGAAGTACTTTCTTGTCTGAGTCATAAGTTCCTGTTGGGGTGTAAGGAGGAAAGGGTGCAGGATCCACACCCTCTGGGTGAGGCCGGAGGTGTGAAAGGAGAGACCACACACGTGGTCTGGGGAGCTGGCGTCATCTGCCTGTGGGTGTCCGATCCTGAGCACGTCTGCCTGTGCTCGCCTCTCAGCGCCCCCAGGCAGGCGTCTGAGCTGTGCTGTGTCACTGCGTCCACAGTGTGCAGAGAACTCATCGCTGTAAAGTCACAGCCTTGACGTTCATCTGAAGAGCCATGCACCTGTCGGGGTGATGTCCCGGCCTGGCTGAGAAAGACGAGACCACGGCCAGCAGGGCCTGGTGGCGTAGCAACTCACAAAACTGTCCCCAGGTACTTCCACGAGAGTGAGTCCCCTCGGGCCCGGCATGGATTTTCAAAATTGTTACTGAGATTTCCACGACACTGCAGGGTCTTCTCGCCGAGGTCAGGTGCTCCGGGAGAGGTGGCGGGCGTGCGCACTGGAGAGCTCCGTGGGGGCAGCGGGCAGCGGGTCCTGCAGGCCGAGACGGGAGCTTTCGGTGCCTGTGCTTTACGTCCTGCTGGTTCCTTCCTACAGCCGGTCTCCATGGGGTTGGGCAGTGCCACCCCAAGGAGTCCCCTGGTCCAGCTGGTGCTCCCGCTGGCCAGTCAGTCAGCAAGTGGTAGGTGAGCGCCTCAGCCGTGTGCATGGCACGGGGTGGGGTGGAGCCATTTGGCAGCAAGTGGCTGGGCGGGTGGACCAGCACAGGAAGGGTGACATGGATGAGTGCAGAGGCCAAGGCAGTGGTGAGAGGCTGGGGCAGATGCTTCCCCACGACCAGACTTCCCTTGTGAATGGACAGAGGGTGCTCATGCTCTGCCCTTCTGTCCCCCTCCAGCTGTGTCTCACTTTGGCTGTGAGCTTGGAGAGGGGCACAGCCCCCAGCCCCACACCCCTGTCTGCGGTTGTCCTGGCGTCAGCAGAGCCTGTGACCAGCGCTGCTTCGCTTGGTGGCCTAGGCGCTGCCGTTCACTCATTCCCGGGCATTCTGCCCTGTTCTGGCTCCGCTTTGCGGGACCCAGTCACTGCATAGGGTGCGTGGTGGGAGGCCCAGGCGGAACGCCTCAGTCTGCATGACCGTGGGACCCTTCCTGGAGCTGCTGGACCAGACCTCTGGGAGCGGATGGGTCTGCAGCCGGCAAAGCTGCGCCCACACAACTCTAACTTGGTAGCTCAGGACATCAGGACCAGAGGGGGTGAGGAGGAGCCTCAGATCTGAGTGACCGTTGGTACATTTGTTTTTGCACAGGTGATACCCTAATGTGTACCTAGATCTCACCCCAAGCCCACTCTCTCTTCCCCCAAAGCACTGTGATCAGTGTGGTTGGAATTGGACTCCAGGCGGTCGTGGCGGTGGGCACCAGTGTCCGTCGGCCCACTGAGTGAGTTTTCTTATCCCCTCCCAAAATGAAGAATGCGTGATCATGAGAATTTCACGAAGCTCAAATTATTCTACATAAAAGATTTTCCTCGTGTGTGTGTGTGTGTGAGAAAGTGTTCTTTTAGAAAATGATGGAAGTTTTAAAAAATGTTTTCCTTGGAACAATAAAATACAATCTTACATCAGCCTCTTAATTAAAAACCAATTAAAAACCAAAGCAAACACTGGTTGATGAAATCCTTGAGACCGGGAACCACTGGGTTGTGGGCTGAGCGGACTGCGGGCCAGCTGGCAGCACCAGCACCAGCACCAGAGCCCTGGGAAAAGGCACATCAAGGGAGCTCTGGGGCAGCTGGGGAGGACCTGTTCATGAAACGTAGGATTCAGATGAGCAGGACTGGGCGCTAATACCACTTCCTGCTCCTCTAGATAAGGCCAGACATTTCCCCTCTCCAGTGACTCATCGGGACTTTCCCTGGCCTTCTGACTTGCGCTGAAACGGGATGATGGAACGCTGGGTTTCCTGTCCGCTTCATCTATGTTTTCTGTCATTGGAACCCATAATAGCCAATTAAATCGTTGCAGACACCGCTGGCCCCTGCGGGTGAGGAGCCAGTCTGCATGGCAGGTCTCCTGGTGGGGGCTTGTCCCTGAGTACTCAGTCGTTGCTTCCTCTGGCCACCTGGTGAACCATGGAGATGTAGCCTGGTGTGCGCTCGGGTGGCACTGAGCTTGTTCAAACCGCTGTCTCCTCGCCTGCCTGAGATCCCTGGTGTGGCCTCAGCCCCTACGTGTGGGACTACTGAAGGCAGTGAGCAGCAGGGGAGGTCCAGGAGGGAGGGGTGGTGGTGAGGGCCTGGGAGGTCCAGAAGGGAGGGGTGGTGGTGAGGGCCTCGGTGGTGATGCCCAGAATCCATAGCCAGGCGAAGGTCCAGCACAGGCTGCGGCCCCAGGGTCTGGGCAGCGCCTCTGAATAGGGCGGGTCAGGCTCTTCACTGGCCCCAGGCTGCTGGGGTGAAACCTGACAGGATTCAAAGGCAGTTTGGGCTCCTTCCTGCCCCTGGCTGCGAGCAGCTGGCCCAAACGGTCTGCCTTCACTTGGATTATTAATTCTCTCTCCATTCCCACTTTGTTCCCTGTTCTGAAGTACAGTTGGGTTTGCTCTTAGCTCTTATTTGTTTGGTTTTGTCTTCACTTGTGAATATTCTGTATCCCTTGATTTTTACCTCTTTAACTTTTGCATTATTGCCCCTACCCCGCGCTTTTTAAAAAAATCATCAAGTTGCTTCCCTTGTGTACTCTTTTTATTTATTTATTTATTTTTATTTATTTTTGTTACAGATGTTTCTCCTTTTCCCCCCACTGATACCCCTCCCACCTCCCCGCCCTGTCTCCAGCTTTGTTGTCCATGTCCATTGTTCATGCATGCATGCATGTAAGTTCTGTGGTTTATCTCTCCCCCCACACCCTCTTCTGGGGATTGTCAGTCTGTACCCCACTTCCATGTCTCTGGGACTACCCCATTCCTCAGACTGTTATGTTCATTGTACTCCACGAATAAGTGAGATCGTATGATATTTGTCTTTCTCTGCTTGATTTGTTTCGCTTAGGATAATACTCTCCAGGTCCCTCCATGTCATCTCAATGGATAAGAGATCTTTCTTACAGCTGCATAGTACTCCATTGTGTATATGTACCATCGCTTTTTTATCCATTCGTTTACTGATGGACATTTGGGCTGTTTCCAGATCTTAGCTATTGTAAATAGTGCTGTTACAAACATGGGGGTACATATATTCTTCTTGATTGGTGTTTCAGGATTCTTAGGGTATATTCCTAGAAGTGGGATCACTGGGTCACATGGCAGTTCAATTTTTAATTTTTTGAGGTAACACCATATTGTTTTCCATAGTGGCTGCACCAGTCTGCGTTCCCACCAGCAGTGTACTAGAGTCCCCTTTTCTCCACACCCTCACCAACACTTGTTGTTTGATGATTTGTTGATGGCGGCCATTCTGACAGGTATGAGGTGATACCTCATTGTTGTTTTAATTTGCATCTCTCTGATGATTAGTGGTGTTGAGCATTTCTTCATATATCTCTTAGCCATTTGTATGTCCTGTTTGGAGAGGTGTCTATTTAGGTCCTCTGCCCATTTTTTAATTGGGTTCTTTGTCTTCCTTTTGTTGAGCTGTATGAGCACTCTATATATATTGGAAACTAACCCCTTATCTGATGTATCATTGGCAATTATGCTCTCCCATACAGTGGGTAGTCTTTCCGTTTTTGGTGGTTCTTTTGCTGTGCAGAAGCTTTTGAGTTTGATGTAGTCCCATGTGTTCATTTTCTCCTTTGTTTCTGTTGCCTTAGGTGATGTATCAGTGAAAATCCTGCTGCATATGATGTCTGAAATTTTGTTGCCTACATTTTCTTCTAGGATTTTTATGGATTCATGAATCACATTTAAGTCTTTTATCCATTTTGAGTTTATTCTTGTGTGTGGTGTAAGTTGATGGTCTAGTTTCATTTTTTTGCATGTAGCTGTTCAATTTTCCCAACACCATTTATTAAAGAGGCTGTCTTTACTTCACTCTATGTTCTTGCCACCTTTGTCAAATAGTAATTGAGCATATTGCCTTGGGTTCATTTCTGTTCCATTGATCTACCTGCCTGTTCTTGTGCCAGTCCCAGGCTGTTTTGATTACAGTGGCTTTGTAGTATAACCTGAAATCTGGTAATGTGATTCTTTCAACTTTGTTCTTTTTTTTTCAAGATTGCTATGGCTATTAGGGGTCTTTTATGGTTCCATATGAACTTTTGAAGTTTTGTTCTAGTTCTGTGAAGTATGTTGTTGGTATTTTGATGGGGATTGCGTTGAATCTATAGGATTGAGTTGAATCTATAGATTGCTTTGGGTAGTATGGACATTTTAATGATGTTAATTCTTCCAATCCATGAACAAGGTATGTGCTTCCACCATTCTATATCTTCCTCTATTTCTTTTTTCAATGACCTGTAGTTTTCTACAAATAGGTCCTCTATTTATTTGGTTAAGTTTATTCCTAGATAACTTATTTTTTTTGCTGTGATGGTAAATGGGATTGTTTTTTAGTTCCTCTTTCTGTGAGTTCATCATTGGTGTATAAGAATGCTGTCGATTTCTTGATGTTAATTTTGTATCCTGCTACTTTGCCAAATTCATTTATTAAGTCTAG